ATATATAGATGTATAGACTTTTATGACTCCACACGTATACACACACACACACACACACACACACACACACACACACACACACACACACACACACACACACACACACACACAATCATGTCTCTTAAAGATAATTCAGCTTCTTGGCTCTTGCTGTTGGACTCCGTTCAGATGTGAGTGTCGGTGGAGTCGCATTAGCTCGCTCACATTAATGATCCGTCCACATCTCCTCTCTTTATCTCCTCTCTTCATCTCCTCTTCATCTCCTCTCTTCATCCTCTCGTCTATAAGTTGGCTTAATTCTCCTCTCGCTGTGATTGCATGAGAGCTTTATGTGGAGGATATATGATTAAACTGGGGTCTCGTGATCAGAGGGGATTATGGTTCAGTTAACAGAAATCCAAAATGCATTCATTTCTGCACGCCAGCTGATGTTAATACTGTATTATTAAATGAGTCTATCATATAATAAAGCTTTAAATGTACTTAACCCACCAAATGTCAAGTGGAATTGTTTGAAATGTAGAGAAACACGTTTTGATTATTGTATTTGTTGCATTTGCCCTTTTTATGGCCTTTAAGAGTTGTTTATCATCAGAATGATAATACAATTACCCTGCTGATACTTCCCTGTTCTTGTGTGAAAAAAACATATCTCCAAAAAAAACAATAACCTGGCAGCTATAAGGTCTCCACTGTCATGTTGTACACCAGTGACCATCAACTGGCCACATCCGGCCCGCACGACAGGGGTGACTGTGGCGTTAGTGCGTTCGCCCCCCACAAAAAAATGTTGTACGTCTCGTGAGTAATGTGCAGTACCGGAGTCCAACAGAGAGGCAGCAGCTGCGGGACAGTAGACTGCGTACTGCGTAGCCTTCCCTGCCTTGAAGAAGAAGTGATCCTTCGTTAGCATGAAGAGTCTGCTTTATGCGCTCCGCAGCAGTAGCCCCCGCTGCGACTGAGTCCAACAGAGAGGCAGGAGCTGCGGGACAGTAGCCTAGAAGTGATCCTTCGTTAGCGTGAAGAGTCTGCTAAGCTTTATGCGCTCCGCAGTACCTGAGCGTGCTCCACTAGCCCCCCCCCTCCCCCGGTCAACAACTTCTAAATTCTGGGCTATATAAAAATCGCTGGCCCGCGAAAGTGTCTATTGGATAAATGTCGGCCCTTGGACAAATGTAGTTGGTGATCCCTGCTGTACACACTCATTACACAGTATACATAATCTTTTTCACTCCGTTTTTACACTATCTAAATAAATAAAAAAAGCTTTTGGATGGAAAGGATTCTTGTCCTTGTTTTACACAGAATTGCTCCAATCTTCAACTTGTGTGTGTGTGTGTGTGTTTGTGTGTGTGTGTGTGTGTAGGACATGGGCACAGTGATCCTGGGGAAGCTGGAGTCGGGGTGCATCAGTAAAGCGCAGCAGCTCATCATGATGCCCAACAGGGTGAGACCTCCTCTCTGCTGCTCACAACAGACTCATAACACTTCCAGTAGTTGCATTATTTAAAATAACAATAGATAGGACAAGTACTGAACAGTTCAATAATACAAATATATAAATGTGTGTGTGTGTTTCAGCACACAGTGGAGGTCCTGAGTCTGCTGAGTGACGATGTGGAGACGGACGATGCGACTCCCGGGGAGAATCTGAAGCTGAGGCTGAAGGGCATCGAGGAGGAGGAGATCCTGCCGGGGTTCATCCTCTGCAGCCCCGACAACATCTGCCACTCCGGACGCACCTTCGACGCACAGGTGCTTTACAAACACATCATAAAAGTCACTTCATCTGTGTCTTCAATCTACCTCTGAAGTTCAGTCATTACTTCAGGGGAGAATTTTTCATTGTACATGTGATGTTTTGGTGTTTGGTTTTGTTTCTTTCCGTTAACCGTCAAGTGGGAACTGAAAAGTATTTTTTTGTACGTTTTTGTGTTTCTCTTATTTTCCTACGATACTGTTATGATTGGCTGAGAATAAGAAAATATGAAGGACAGACCATCATTTTATTTTTGAGAAAGGGGCAGGTCATATCAGATAATTTTCTTCTCCCTGCTCCTTTCCGGGTACGGTGTGTTTACAGAGACATGTTTTGTAAATAATTGTTAGACATTAAGTTGTGCGTACCATGAACGGAACAAATAAAAAATGAAATGAAATATATATATTTTTTCATTTCAGATCGTCATCATTGAGCACAAGTCAATCATTTGTCCCGGTTACAACGCAGTCCTTCACATCCACACCTGCATCGAGGAAGTGCAGATCTCAGTAAGTTACTACTTGTGGGGGAAACTTCTGTAGCAATGGGAGTCAGGACTCAAAGAGAGACACGAGGAGAGCTGGAGCTTTGATGGCAAACACTGACGGTTTATTTGGAGCTTCGGCCGGAGAATTCACAAGACATGTCACGGGCCACGAGTTGACCACACGGTAGAGATGCCACAATCAATTTTGAAGAACCCTCCTGTAGCTCGAGGTTTTAACTAGTTCAGAGTGTAATAATCAACCTTCTTCAATAGATAGACTAAACAGCTGAGGACACTGAATCACATTTGTTGTCGCTTATGGCTCGGGGTCATCTACACCCCGAGAAGGATGTGTTCCAGGTGTCCCACAACAATAACTATAGTAGAGAGTAGCCCGGTCACAAACTGGTAACATCAACAACTTGCTAGGGCGGCCCCTCCTTATGGGAGATAACGGCTGCTCAAGGTTGGTCAGCTGCGTCAGAGGGCGAAGGAGGACATGCAGGGCAAATGATTCCCCAACACTACAGACATATTCTGTTTTCATTTCCTATTTTGTTTGATCAGTCAGTTGTGATTGCATTTCTCCACTGTGATTGAACTCGTTTAAATCCTCCCTGCAGGCCTTAATCTGTCTGGTGGATAAGAAGTCGGGGGAGAAAAGCAAAGTCCGACCGCGCTTCGTGAAGCAGGACCAGGTGTGCATCGCCCGGCTGAGAGCGGCAGGAACCATCTGCTTAGAGACCTTCAAAGACTTCCCTCAGATGGGACGGTTCACACTGAGGGACGAGGGTGAGGAGTGTGTGTGTGTGTGTGTGAGGTTGTGTGTGTTGGTAAGGAAGTTTGAGTATGTTTGTCTTTTATAAAGTCATAAGAGAATCAAAATCAGAACACTTTAGGTATCCTGGAGGAAATTGGGTTTCAAAACATGTGCTCCATTTTTAGAATGAAATAAGAAAATATAATTAAAATATTTATATAAACATAAAAGCTAAAGTAGAAATGTGCAATAAACAGATAAAATAAGAAATAATTGTTGTTTTGTACACATATACATACTTTTTAAAATATTATATATTTACATATTATATTATTGCATATACATTATTTTACAAATTAATTTTAATTAGCATTTCCCTATTTTTAAAACTATTTATTTTTCTCTTTACGTGTATATAAAGACTGTATATATATAATTGTTTATTTCCATATTTTCTTTATATATATTTATTTATAAATTCCTTGCATATCAATTATTTATTTTAATTTTTTCTCCAACTTTTATTCCTTATTTTCCAATTTACAAATGTTAGTGTTCAAATAATAAAATGTGCATTAACTTCTGTGCATGTCTGGCTTATTTCTTCTCTCCCTCCTCTCCTCCTCCAGGTAAAACCATCGCCATCGGCAAAGTGCTGAAGCTGGTCCCAGAGAAGGACTAAACGCCTCGTCAGCACACCTCTTGTTACCGGGGAGAAACGCTGCTCGGCCGACAAACAGCTGCTCTCTCTTCACACTCAACACGCTGAAGAGAAGTCCAACGACAACCAGGAGAGGGATCGAGGAGTTCAAATAACGTCACATGAAGAAAACAAGACTGAATCAGTTTTTTTGATGAACTATATTAAGTGAGAGACCAAGTCCAGTGTGTCAGCTTTCTCATATTGAGAGCTCAGCTATGCCACTAATGTAGCTACAAGCCCCGCCCCCTTCTGTATTCCCACGGCTAACCGCGAAGTCGGCTCGCTACGCCATTTGTTTTTAGAATGGAGATGGATGCAGTGTTACTGAGTTTGGGGAGGATATGACCACAGAAAGATTTCATATCCTGCAAAACAAGAGCAGGGTTAGCCTGTCATTATAATTTGCAAATCACATCTCCCTTTTTAAGAGCGGGATTTAGGAAACATTTGATTTGGTTTTTAAGGATTGCTGTACCAACATTTTGAGTTTGGTCTCTCTCCACATGAGATGGCTTAATTAATTGGATTGAGCTCACATACTACTCTGATTAAAACCACGGATAAACACACACACACACACACACAGCTGTTACATAATCTAAACTGAAAATAAATTATCAACGCTGTGTCAGAAAAGTGTGTTTTCTTTTATTAAGTATCCTCATTTCAGGTGGATTAATCAATATTCAGTGTATCAATACTAATGCAAAATCCCAACATTTAACATTATACTATAGCGGTTTCTTATCCTTTGTTGATTTAATATAATTGAATGTATTGCTAACTTTGTCAACAGATTATAAAAAAACTGTAAACTATATTTGATTCTACCATAAATGTGCAATTTTTGCTTTTAACATTTTAAATGTTATGTTCGATCTTTATCCATCATTTTACTTTACTTGCCAAGGTGTTTAGATTATTCGTACAACATTGTTTTTGCTATTGTTTGACAAAGAAACACGTGAGAGAATAAGATATACAGGATTAAATGACACGCTGTTAATAGATTTGCAACAGTTAGAGAATAGAAAGAAGGGAATTATCAGGAGAAATTAATAAAATATGACATATTAATAATTAATTAATAACATTTAAAAACACTATTCTATCCGAGCATCTTCTAGGAAAGACATGGGAAGTAAAACAAATGTTTTAATTAAGCTAAAGAAATATTAGAAAGAAATTAAGAAAGCCTGATTCATTTATTTGTCTTGAAAGACAACGCTCAGTCCAGCAGGTGGCGATAGTGCGCCTCTGAGCTGCCAACCAACGAAGAAGAAAAAGGAATCTACCCATTGCGCATGCGTGTGGAGTTTACACGTGAAGCAGACAGCATGGCGGAGACAGCAGAAGTTGGGCTAGACCGGACCCAGGTAAAAACTGTTTTCTTTGTCGTGTAATACATTTAAACTAATTATAAATATATAATGTGTTAATAAAAGATTAAATAACCAAACCATTGTTATTATTCGGTTGTAGCTATAAGCTTTCTAGCATTAGTTAGCTTGTTTTCTTTGCTGTTTAGCAACGAAGCTAATTCAAAGCAACATGTCTGGATCTCTTGAAGAAAAATGTAGTCTGTCGGTGGGTTTTCATGGCATTTTATAACTGGATTTGATGTCTCTGCCAGGTGAAAAAGGCCGTCCAGGCTTTGCAGGCTTTCCTGAAAACCAAGTCCACCGGGGACTCGCTGTTCCTGGACGACACTCAGCAGATCAGCCTGCTCTTCACCCTCTGGAAGATCCCCCCGAAAGCACAGACCATCCGCATGTGAGTCCACTGACAGCCATTACAGCTGCCTTCATGCCTAATCTGTTATTTTACAGTCATATCAAGTGACTTTACTGATATTGACATTATTCCACCCTTTCCCCAGGGCCAGCGGCCTTATAGCCCCTGTTTTACATAACTTAATAACATCTGACTATAACTTCATTTGTAAAGAGTTTTTGAATCAGAAAATGCCTCTACAAATTGTTAAGAGGTATTTTTGTATCTGCTCTCTGTGATCCTACTAAACTTTGATACTTGTATATATTACTAAATAACAGATTACTGATCTTAATTTGAAACTTTGTAAATACTTATTTCCTCTTAAATTAAAATAGAGAGCAATAAATACCTCTAAAAATGCCTGGAGGTATTTTTGATATATGTACAAATCTGCTTTCTGTGTTTCTAATAACCCTCCATACTCATATATATTACTCTCTGTGTGTGATTACTAACCCCTTTAGAAAAACATAGACTAACCATTTTAGTTTTTAGTTATATGAACAGCACCTTAGCAGCCCGGTTCATTCTGTGAAGTGTTTGAACCGGACAATATTTGGTGCCATAGAGATTCAACGTAAATCCAGATGGACCTCCTCTACCCGTGGAGCCTGTCTCTACAACTTTGAAACACAATATGTCATGTTCATATGAAATATACCGGCCTTTCTTCTACATGTACTACAGTGCTTCTTTTCCAGTGCATGGATGGTGTGAATATGTCCTGCCGTTGCTCTCATCGGATGCTCTTTTATTGATAATGTCTTCTCTCCCCCCCCTCTCTCAGTCCGTTGCCCCATGGCCAGCGGTCGGACACAGAGGAGGTTTGCCTCTTCACCAGAGACGAGCCCAACATGACCTCAGATCAGACCATCAGGTTTTATAAGAAGCTGCTTGCAGAGAAGGGAGTGAAGAACATCACAGAGGTGAATACCAGTCAGAGAAACACTCAAATAAAGACGGATACTGGTTAGATTATTCCTTCATTGCATTTAGCTGACGCTTTTAGTATATAAGTGCTTAGTTAGTATCTAAGTGCTTAGTTAGTATCTAAGTGCTTAGTTAGTATCTAAGTGCTTAGTTAGTATATAAGTGCTTAGTTAGTATCTAAGTGCTTAGTTAGTATCTAAGTGCTTAGTTAGTATCTAAGTGCTTAGTTAGTATCTAAGTGCTTAGTTAGTATCTAAGTGCTTAGTTAGTATCTAAGTGCTTAGTTAGTATCTAAGTGCTTAGTTAGTATCTAAGTGCTTAGTTAGTATCTAAGTGCTTAGTTAGTATCTAAGTGCTTAAGTTAGTAATCTAAGTGCTAGTTAGTATCTAAGTGCTTAGTTAGTATATAAGTGCTTAGTTAGTATCTAAGTGGTTAGTATCTAAGTGCTTAGTTAGTATCTAAGTGCTTAGTTAGTATCTAAGTGGTTAGTTAGTATCTAAGTGGTTAGTATATAAGTGCTTAGTTTAGTATCTAAGTGGTTAGTATACAAGTGCTTAGTTAGTATCTAAGTGGTTAGTATATAAGTGGTTAGTATGTAAGTGCTTAGTTAGTATATAAGTGCTTAGTTAGTATGTAAGTGCTTAGTTAGTATATAAGTGCTTAGTTAGTATATAAGTGCTTAGTTAGTATATAAGTGCTTAGTTAGTATATAAGTGCTTAGTTAGTATATAAGTGCTTAGTTAGTATATAAGTGCTTAGTTAGTATATAAGTGCTTAGTTAGTATACAAGTGCTTTGTTAGTATACGAGTGCTCGAAGTGGAGTCGAAAGAGATGAGCTTTCAGTCTGTCTGAAGATGTGTGAGCTTTCTGCTGTCCTGATGTCAATGGGGAGCTCATTCCACCATTTAGGAGCCATGATAGCAAACCCACCTCATTACCAGCTGTATTGCATTTACATTTTTATAGGAAAGTTATAGATTATGGAAGATGTGGATATTTTTACACCAACACATCTCGTGGCTGATAACAATAAGACATTAAGTTTTGTTTGACTTTTTAAAGGAGTCTGTAGCATGTAATGTATGCACAACTAGTGGAAACAAGGCTAAAATGTAACAAGCAAAGATGGATGACTTAAACAATTCCTTAGCTCTGACTTAACCACATTTAACAGACATCACTTCTGTTAACACAACACTAAACTAAACATTTTCGAGGTTATTACAAACTCAAGATAAATTAGATGGCAAACAAAACACATCCAACTAACATATTAAACATTGAGCATCCCCAGTTGTTGGTCTACATTCTGCTCTTTCTATTGATTGTTAACCACCTTCATGCTGTGTCTTGTTTCAGGTCATCCCGTATAAAGTCCTGAGGACGGAGTACAAACCTCACGAAGCGAAGCGCCGCCTGCTGAGCAACTTCGACATGTTCCTCTCCGACGACCGCGTCCGCCGCCTGCTGCCGTCTCACCTCGGGAAACACTTCTACCTGAGGAAGAGGTAACACCTTCTTACTCCTGTTGACCGATTGGAACTCTTTTAATACCTTCATGTTGCAGATTCATGTTTAACCCTCCTGTTGTCTTCGGGTCAAATCTGACCCATTCACTACTTTCATCAATCATAACTTTTTTGTTTTACATTCGATTGCATTAAGGCTTTATGATATCCTTCACAGTAGACATTTGAACATATACAATGGCTGATCACCACTTTCATTCCATTTTGGATGATTTAGTCAACTTTGTAACACCATGGTGTTCCCGGTCAAATGACCGCCATAAAGAAAAAGAATTAGTAACCATCCGGATCAGATAAAACACACACACACACACACACACATACTCTAGAAGTGTTCCCCCCCCCCTTATGTGCCTATCCCCCCACATGGATCACACCTGGCACTCACACACACACACACAGAGAATAATTTGACACATTTCCCGCTCTTATGTGCCCATCCCCCCCACATGGATCACACCTGGCACACGCAATACATGTTCAGTGTCTATTCTTTGTATATGTACTGCAGTGTTTCATGTATCCCAGTAGTCTGATACAATATGTACAGTTTGAAAGGGTGTTAAATGAAATTTGGTGACGATTCATGGTTTTTGTGTTAATGTAATAGCAGTTAAAACAGGACCGGTCAAATTTGACCGCGAACACCAAAGTAAGGGGGGGGGGGGAAACGAAGACAATAGGAGGGTTAAACGTCTTGGTTAAGCATTTGATTCTTTGTTCTCCTAATGCATTGTTATGTCATTCTTGTTTTTCACAGAGAGCCGCTGTGTGTGAACATGCTGAGCAAAAATCTGGCCAGAGATATTAGTCGAGTGATCCAGGGCTCCTACCTGAAGGTCACCAACAAGGGCTCCTGCTGGTGAGATCCTCTCTCTCTGATACTAACAATTATAGTTTTGATATGAAAAGCACCTTAGCAGCCCGGTTGATTCTGTGAAGTGTTTAAACCGGACAATATTTGGTGCCATAGAGATTCAACGTAAATCCAGATGGACCTCCTCTACCCGTGGAGCCTGTCTCTACAACTTTGAAACACAATACGTCATGTTTTACATTAAATACCTGCATTTCTACTGCTGTCATGTTTCCGCTTCATGGTTCAACTTAACTGGCTCTTTTTCGGTTTTCCAATAAGGAATAATTGTGGTTATTACCTGATACTCTGTTAGTAACACTGAGTTGAAAGGTAACGTTCAAACCGTGCAGAAAACTGATGCACAAATAAGGCTGTTTGTAAAATGCCAATCTTTGTCGAAAGTGATTCTTATTATTCCAATAAACTCAGTATTTTTCTTTGAGAAGCAACTGGTAAAACACTGCAGTACACATCGCCTAACAATTGACAAAGCACAGATGTTCCTCTGTTTGGGTTACTGGGCATCTTAAAGCGGACTGTAGTTGAAATAAGACGTGAGTGGAGTTGAGCCAGACCATGAAGTGGAAATGCATCTTTGGAGTTTCCCACAGTCCCCCTGCATTATCTAACCTAACGGTCCTGTGTCGCAGCATGGCTCGCATTGCCCACGCCGGCATGACCGCAGACGAGGTGACCGAAAATGTTGAGGCTGCTTTCCAAACTGTGTCGACCAAACTACGCACGGTGAGTCTAACAGCACTGCTTGGTGTTTGGAGCCAAACACTTCAGAGACATGTTTTGTATATATCTGAGACCTATAACATATTGATGAAAAACAGTATAACAGGGTTTTCCAGCCACTTTATGCCACCTCAAACTCTAATATATCTTTGTATGTCTCTGAACAGAAAGGACCCGTGATAAAGCTGGTTCACATCAAGACTCAGATGTCTGTAGCGCTGCCCCTCTACACCTCCAACCTGAACCACCTCACTGCGCTGGACGAGGATCAGAAAGTGACAGAGACCGCCAAGCAAGAGGTGAGAACAACTCATCAGACTCAGATAAAAACTCCTGTGCCCCCCCCCCCCCCCCTTCCCCCTTCTTTAAAAGTATCTGTAAATAACCACCAGCTGTGTTTGTGATTCTCAGGCTGCGGCTAAAAAGCTGGCAAAGAAAACTAAGAAGACAGAGGACGTGAAGAAAAGCGAGGGGACGGGGGAAGAAATCCCACAGCTGGTTCCCATGGGAACACCAAGCAAGAAGCCCAAACTGGAGGTCAGTGCTGCTCGATAGAGAGGTGCAGGAATGAGTCCTAAAACCCAGGAGTGTGTTGGCATTTTACCTAGGATTAGAGGTCTGAAATGAGGTCCGTGGTTAACACGAGAGGAAGGGGTTTCCCCATTTTTTTGTATGACATCAAATGTGTCAGTAAACGCTCCACTCGTGAATATCCAAAGCTTCTTAGTGGCTTAAAAACTGCGGTTGCTAACAAATACCTAAATGAGACGACTAAACGTTGAACATTAGCCACCTTTAGCTTAGCGGTGGTGAAGTGACCGTGCTGTAGTTCCTTTTAAAGCTTAACGTTAGCTTTTTACATCTACGCTACAAACATCGTAAAACGTTGTTAATTTGTGGAGATTTTCCTGCTGAATAAAACACATAAGCACTAGGGATGCTCCGATCGCCAATTTTGGGGCCGATCGCCGGAATCATTATCGGCCCATACCGATCGCCAATCCGATCGAGTGGGCGGGGCCTATGGGGATCTTCCATTTAAAGTGCTGTTTAAAACTCAGTTAATGGGGCTCATTCACTGGCGCTTCCACCAACAACAACCAACATCATTATTACATTCAAATGAAGTACATTATTCAAGTTTACATTAACTTGGATATAACACGGGGAGAAATGAGAGGAAGAGCTCTGTTCCTAGGACAAAAGAGAGCGGAAGCGAGAAAGAGACGAAGATAGAGGCAGAAGAAGAGAGAGAGTGGGAGAGAGAGAAGGGGGAGAGAGGAGAGAGAGATGGGGAGGGAGAGAGCAAGAGGACATAGAGCGAGAGAGAATATGAGAGATCAGGATAGCGAGAGAGCGCAGGAAATGCAGACAGAGAGAGACAGAGGAGCATGATAGAGAAATGACGAGGGGAAAAGCCTCATGGCTAACAATACCTACCCTCTTCTACCTCCTCTCTCTCTATCTGCTCTCTCTCTTCTCTCTCTCTCTATCTCTCTCTCTCTCTCTCTCTCTCTCTCTCTCTCCTATGACAGCCCGTCAGTATCTCCTGCAGCTCACTGAATCCAGTAATGGAGTGACCCGAAAGTGAATAATAAATATATTTATAACTAGTTTAGCTTGTTCCAGAGGTAGATCAAAATAGCTAAGTGTGTTAGGTCTAAATCTTAATGTGGTGTTGCTTCCGCTCACCGTTCCGTCCACAGCAGGCGAGCTGCAGGATTTTCCTTTCTGCTTCACACACACGTTTGCATACCGCTATTTTTACTGGTCTTTTTCGGACACCGTTAAAAATACTGCCAGACTGGTCTTGTCGAGGGAGCAATGCTAACCTCCGGGTCGGCTCATGAAAAAGCATCATCACTGCAGCACTCAATTTGAAGACTGATTTTAAATATGTAATCCGACAAATTTTCTTTGTTTCTTTTGCAGAAGACACCCAAGAAGAAGCAGCTGGAGAAGGCGCCCACGACGGCTGGTGGGAAGAAAGGAAGAAAACCACAAAACAAAATGAACAAGAAGGGCGGCAAGGGCGAGTCCAAAGGGAAGAGAAGAGTGCCCAAATTGAAATGATTCTCCTCTTCACACGTTACCTTCAACATGGACATTTGACTCAGAACACAGGACCAGATCGCTCACACTGCTCCATATATATTCAGTCTGTTTTGTCTCGTTATGCCTGGATGATGCAGAATATAAAGTTTGTTATCTGAAATGAACTTAGGCTCTGTTGTGTTTTCTAAAATATAGCCCTCCAACAAAAGGCTTTTCACTGGAAGACAGAGCTAACAATGGCTCTGTGTACTTGTGGGCATCAATAATCCCTTACATGGTGACACGGCCCTGAAACTAGTGAAGCTTAAAGGGAATGCAGCCTTTTATTGACATAATGAATGCAGCATTCGCATGCATTTCACCATTTTGGAAGTCGTTTTTGCAACTTCCATGTGAAAACAAAATAGTTTTGAGAGTTTTTTGCTCAGTATCGGTTATTTTGTCAGGGTTGTTGCTGGATGAGTGTTTCCTAAATCCACAAATGATTGCTTTACCTTATCCAACACCTTTTCTAACTCATCTAAATGTATGTGAAAAGTTGTTATGCATTATGTGAATTAAAATATTTGTGAACCTTGTGTCTGCGTATCATGACGTTTACTCGTGTTTTTATTATTGTCACTACTGGGAGAGGGCTTCACGTGCATTTATATCCAGTCGCTATTTTAAACTGAAAAGAAAGGCCTTTTAGAAATCCTTCTGATGGCTGGTGATTATTCATGTGGAGTTTAGATTCTTTTTAAAACTATTAAAGTTAAAGGTGGCCGTGGGGTAGGTATTTCACTTCAGATACACTTTTTGTTATATTCCATGGAATGCTCTTAACATCCCGATAGCAATGAATACATTAAATGCTTTGACAAAAAATACATACAAAAAAGTCATCTGTGGAAGCCGTGGCGCTGTAAAAAGCACGACCAATCATCTGAGCCGGCCCGGCTAAAATAACTGGATGGCCTACCTGCCTGTCAGCCTAACATCTGTGCACAAACTTATCTCGTGCCCTCATTGGTCATGTGCGCGTTCGTGTGTGTTGGAGGAGGGGCTCTGTAAGGAAGTCTGAAGGAAGAGGCAGATTTTCTCCGGCTGCGTACTTTCAAATTCTAGCGCACTCGAGCTGGTTTCTCCATTCTTACCTACCCTACCTTTAATATCCTTTAGAATTGTATTCTTGACGTCACAAAGGAAAATATTTCCTTTTTTTGACCGCCTTTTGTTTTAGGGAGAGTATACCACTCGGATACTGTTGAAATTATAAATAAATGCAAGTCACAGTGTTTTATTTAAGGTGTTTGATAATCACCAGCAGGCTTGTGTTTAAACCCATAAACACTTTCCTCACCTCTTGTGTCCTTGAACACATGAGTGTTGCCCTAGAGCTCTGTTTGCTGATGGTGGTCATGTATATATCTTCTGTATCCGATGACATCCTTTTGTTCTTATTATCCTCTGGTTTGTGCAGCTGCTGTCAGCTACTCACGCCATATACCCCTACAACTACATCAGCCATAAAGCTTTGTACATGTATGACTAAAGATAGAAACTATAAGCTGCTCTGAGACACTAAAATATTAATTTACAAAAGATAGTATGGATATTTCTTAGGTTTAATTAGTGGTTGAAAGTAGCTAGGTACATTCACACAAGTACTTGTACAATTTGGAGATGCTTGTACTTAAAGGTAGGTAAAAATGGGAGAAACCAGCTCGAGTGCGCTAGAATTTGAAAATACGGAGCCGAAAAAAATCTGCCCCTGCCTTCAGACTTCCTTACAGAGCCCCTCCTCCAACACACACAACGCGCACGGATGAACTCAATGAGGGCACGAGATAAGTTGTGCACAGAATGGAAGGCTGACAGGCAGGTAGGGCTCATCCAGTTATTTTAGCCGGGCCGGCTCAGATGATTGGTCGTGCTTTTTACAGCGCCACGGCTTCCACAGATGAAATGTTTTTATGTATTTATTGTCAAAGCATTTCATATATTCATTGCTATCGGGATGTTAAGAGCATTCCATGGAATATAACAAAAAGTGTATCTGAAGTGAATTACCTACCCCACCCACCAGTGTTACCATGTTTTACTCTTTTATACTTTAACCCTACTGCATTTTTAAAAAGCCAATATTGTTATTTTTACGTCATTAGATTTTTTAAAGTAATCAAAGTTAACTCACTCCACCTTTAGCAGCTGTGATACACGCATTAATGCATCAAAAATCATAATGTACCATAATTAGTACTTTTTCTTGGTCCTTTAAGTTTATTTGGATACCAATACTTTATGACTAATATGCCAATGATAAATCATGAAATATAGTTAAAGGTTAGGCTACCAACATTTAAATAAACATCACTTTTACCAACTCCATCATTAAGGTGATGTACACATTAATGCATCATAATCTAATTGAATACATGTGTTTCTAAGTACTTAATGAGTCCTTTGACTTTTGTACTTTTTTGTACTTTGTAAGAAGTTTATTTTTTATACTAATACGTCTGTAATTCTACTTAGGCATGTAACACAGTATGTTCACAGTTAAGTATCGCTACTTATAATTAAGTACACTATCTTCTTCCCCCTCTGGGTGTCATGTGACAGGATTATCAGCCAATCAGAGGTGATGATGATGTTGTCAACAGGTGGGTCTGTAGTGGGTGTGGTGGGTCGACTAGAATTACAGAGTCACGGTTCCTGAGCACAGAGAGACTCATCCTGCAGACCCTCTTCATCACAGAGAGAGGATATACAGCTGCTCTGTGTGACTGCAGAGAGGATGCACTGACTCAGAGGATCAGCATCACAGATCTGGGGGTAGGAAAGCATTCATTAAATTGATAGTTATTTCTGCAGACTGAAAACCCACCTCTATAGACTGCACCTTGGCAATTTAAATACAAAATAATATGTATACATAGCACATGCTTTAATTTGCCTCCTTATGGTTGCTTTGGAATGAACCAAAAACATATTTCTTCCTAAAAACGAAACGGTGTAAGGTAGTTATCTACTGGTATGTCACACTTATGCATGCTAGTAATTCATTTTTAACACACACACATGCAGACACACAACCATTTGATGATCTTGTCACAGGACTACAGACTTCATATTGGACAACATCAACATAGGTATTTCCGAGCAATCATTATGCATGCATTTGTGAAAAAAAGGGCATTATTTATCTAATTCAATAGTTATATCTGCACACTACATTCTCACCGCTAGCAGCTTCTTGGAAATGAATATAAAGAAGAAAATATGTTTATTTAGCACTTTAAATGGCCTAAATGAAGCTAACGTACTTCAGTTAGCACCTTTATGGCTGAGCATAAGTTGCTTTGGATCAAAACACAAGCTAAGGGTAACGTAATGTAGTTTATTTACAACTTATTTAGAAAATTGCATATAGTTTTGTTTAGATTGCTACGGACCATTTTACGATACCATAACAACAACATAAATAATAAAAGGCAGGATTATCTGTATGCGACATGTGTAAGGTGTATCATTTGTGGATATTCAGTGTCTTTCCTCTTGTGTTGAAGGCTCTCAGATTGCACCCACAAACAGTTAAAACCCACGTTTGAAGACAGCCATGGAGGAGTTTGAAGAAGACTCGTTTCCAGAAGCCTCCGGGAGTCAGAGGCTGTTTCCAGACCCTTCAGGGGCCTCTGGCTGGGCCCACCTGCACAGAACCATCATAGTGCTGGTGATGGGGTTCCTGATGTGTGCAGTGGGGGGGCTCCTCTTCCTGCTGCTGTCTCTGGGGGTGACGGAGGCCCCCCCCCGCTCCGTGGCCTCCACCTGCCTCTCTTTAGGTCTCCTGCTGGGGCTGATGGGCCTGGTGTGGATCCCCGTGCTGAAGGAGAAGCAGAGGGGAAGGGGGTACTGCTGCCAGGCGGCGTGAAAACAAGGGACTCTGATGAGGATTTAAAGGTCACCTATTGTGCAATATCCACTTCTCATGTCTCTTCTACATCAACATGTGTCCCTCTTCTCATGTCTCTTCTTCATCAACATGTGTCCCCTCTTCTTCATGTCTTTCTACATCAACATGTGTCCTCTTCTTCATGTCTCTTCTACATCAACATGTGTCCCCTCTTCTTCATGTCTCTTCTACATCAACATGTGTCCCCTCTTCTTCATGTCTTTTCTACATCATATTTCTACATCAACATGTGTCTCCTCTTCTTCATGTCTTTCTACATCAACATGTGTCCCCTCTTCTTCATGTCTCTTCTACATCAACATGTGTCCCCTCTTCTTCATGTCTCTTCTACATCAACATGTGTCCCCTCTTCTTCATGTCTCTTCTACATCAACATGTGTCTCCTCTTCTTCATGTCTCTTCTACATCAACATGTGTCCCCTCTTCTTCATGTCTCTTCTACATCAACATGTGTCCACTCTAGTCTCTATAAAGATGTACCTCGTGTAAAGAAATGAAAAGTTTCAGGAAACAAAGATTCTCTCTCTTTTCTCCTGATCCATTTATATAAAAACCTGTCTGAAAATGAGCTGATCAGATTTGGCCACTTTTATGATGTCATAACGATGTTTTGGCTTGTGTAACCATTAGCCAATCAGCAACCAAGGTAACCCCCCCCCCCACCTTATCACCTGAATCTCCTCCTAGAGCACCATTGTGTTCTTTGTAACCAAATATCTCTCAGAGGGGCGTGGGGAGGGGCTCCTTATTTTCATCTAAAGTAACAGACAGAGAATCAGCACTTTGGAAACAGGGCTGAAACAGAGGGGATTATGGGTAATGCTGCAATGATCTGTTTTGGTGTTATATATATCTGAGACCTATAATAAAGTAATGAAAAACAGTATATTAGGGAACCGTTAAAGGTCTCCTATCATGCAAAATGCACTTTTTGATGTCTTTTATTCATAAACATGTGTCCCCGGTGGCACTCACGCAGCGTCAGCAAACAAAACCCTCTCTCTTTTCCTCCGTACCCACATCTCTAAAAACGGGGCTACAAAGGAACTGATCTAGATTTGCTGCCGTCTTAATGATGCAACTGCTTCGTTTTTATCATTGTGAAATATTTGATGTGGCTCTTGCTGACAATGAGTCATGTAATGGAGTTACAACAGGTCTGCAGTTATCAGTGTAATGCATGATAGTTATCTGATATGATCAGAGTCGGTATATATAAAGAGCATGACACACACACACACACACACACACACACACACACACACACACACACACACACACACACACACACCACACATCACACACACACACACACACACACACACACACACACACACACACACACACACACACACACACACACACACACACTCTCTCGTCATCATATCATCTGATCAACTCCAATCTTGTAATTGGACGTCAAAATACTTACCTTTCGAAACAGTTAATCCATTTTAGAGTAAAACAAATAATGTGTATTTACATTGTGTTCATCTGACTCTCTCCCTGTGCCCCTCCCCCCTCCCTGTGTGAACTCCTCTGCTGATAACCCCTGCCGAACATTGAACTTTGACCACAGCCGGCTGTTCCCTGAGAGGAAAACACACCACCGGTGTCCTGCAGCACACACACACACACACACACATCTGGATTACACTCTGGGAACTGGTTCTGGTTTCTGGAGGGTCTCCACATGTCTACACCTGTGCAGCTGGAGCCAGTCATGGAGAGGAGTTATGAGGGAGTGGGCCGCTGTAAATGCTCCTTCTGGTTCGCTGTGGCTCATGATATTCTGGGAACTTTCCTCATGCTGGTGGGGGTGTTCGGAGGGCTGGTCGTCCACGATTTGTTCATCTACGTCGGGGGCATCATCATCTTCCTCAGCCTCATCTGGTGGGTGTTCTGGTACTCTGGGAATATAGACGTCCCCCCCGAGGAGCTGGAGGACGACGTGGGTATGATCAAGCTGAAAAACCGGGGGCTGGGTCAGGCCGTGAAGCAGATGTCAGACAGATTCTCCTCCAGGATCAGAAACTCTTTCAGGAGGAACAGACCTTCAAACACTGAGGTGTCGCTGTCCACCATCTTTGAAAGCAACATGTCTTCTCCATCCACATCTCCATCTAAATACCTTGAGAGGAACACATTATCAATATGAACCTGGAAATGACTCTGAACTTGGACATATTTGTTTCCTTTTTGCACGTGAAAGAGATTTTGTGTGTGTGTTTGCTCTGCTAACACGCTCCTGTAATGATTAGACAACACTGAGGTCTTGTCTAGATAACATCCACATGTCAGTTTCCAGCTGATAAGATGTACACTTTGCACACTATAACAACATCATTGCAAAACTTGAAACGACATAATTCATATCTGTCAATATTTTAGTTGATTCATGAATTTTGCAAGGGTTTTGGTGACTGTAAATAGAAAATAAAAGTTATATTAAGAGATTTGTTATGGTGAAGCTGACTTTCTTTTGGATGAAATGTGACTGGAATATTTGAAGCTGCCTTTTTGCAGCAGTGTGAATGTAACCAACACAGCAACAATAACACAGTTTTTACTTATTTATTTTATGAATAATGGTATTAATCCTTTATAATCTCACCTGTTTTACAAATACAGTTATCTATAAAAAGTGCCCATTCCTTGTTAATCATTTTCAAAATAAACTTCCTTCAGGGTTAAGTGTCCAAATGCAAGTAAGGTAATCTGGAGTTATCTAAATATATCTTAATCTGGTTGTGATCCTCTAATAAAATTGCACCACACACACTCATACACGCACGCACGCACGCACGCACGCACGCACGCACGCACGCACGCACGCACGCACGCACACACACACACACACACACACACACACACACACAGTCAACTTTAGATGAGATATGACCAATTTTAGATTAGATATGACCAAGGTGATCAGAGTGCAGATTTAACGGATGATTCTCAGGTCATCTGATTACCACTGGTGATAATCAGAGTTATCTGATCTAGTTGTATAGGAAAGAGCATCATGTCTGTTCTATAATATAAACGACTTTGTTCTGCAGGGTTTCATTTGATTTGCTTGATGAATGTGTGTTTACACAATAGCAAAAGACACAGAATAAAGTTGAGGATGATGGAAATGTCAATCGTTTTTTGAACAAATTGAAATTGAACCTGATAAAAAGGGTATGGGAATTTGTCCAGGGCGTGATCCTGAGCCAAAGGTTGATTGACAGTTATTTTCCTGATATACACACACCATGAATGTGTGTTTATATATAAATACTTACTTTTACCACAAGAGGTCAGGGGTGTGTTTGTGTGATTTCATATTTTTTATTATTACACTCCGTACTGTCAGAATTTGGCTTAAATAACAATTGTGATTTTTGCATTGTGTTTCTACAATAAATGGTAACTGATTGTCATGCTAAGAATACGTTTCCTTGCATGTTACAATATTCACACTCATTGCAAATGTATTCAGTTATATTTGATACACCCTGGCTTTGATTGCATTGTATCAAAAGTTATCAAAGAAATTCAATATTCTTAAATACAATACATATTTAATTTCCATAAAATGCATAATTAGCTGCATCCATATTCGAACATACCGTTTAACTTGACTACAATATACAAATAAAGTCATTTTTTCAAACAAAAATGTGCCCAAAATGTATGAATATTTCTTTAACCACCGGAAATACACAGACACACAGAGGATCAAATGTCTTATTATCAAAAATCTGCATTTAAAAGGTTATTTTGTAATTTGACAATACTTTTACGAAAGAACTACAACTCCCATCATGCATTTCCGGTCATATGACGGCTGTATGTTGTGTCATGTGACCTTGACTTGGCTCTGTCAGCGCGTTTCCCTTTTTTCGCAGTGCCACAGGCTGCTAACTAAAAACAGCTAGTTTCTCTTTTAAAAAACACCTCCTTTTTTTGACAGGTTGTTTAATGGCTTATAAACTAAACTCCGGCTTTTGCTTTTTACATTTTGTCTGCTTCCCGGGCTTTGTACAACTCGTTCATGTCAGCTTGTGGTAGACTCCCAGCAGGCCTCTCTGTTCACCGGGGGATCATCAGTCCTCACGCCGCCCTAGTGTGCTTGCGGCTCGGCCACAGAGGCGGCATGGGCCCGGTGTTTCGCTAGCCTCTGGATAAAAGCTGTCAAATTGTGGAGGAAGTGTTTTAGCTTGGATGCTACTGCTACCGGTGACTGGCTGTCACAATGAACGGTGAGTTAGGTTGTGTCATTGTCTTTTGTTTTGCAGCATATCATGCAAGAGATTCAGTAACTTTAGTATGTTAGATTCAAAGGTTTTACTGTATGTATATGCACAGTAGCTACAGTGTAGTTATGGCAACGAAAAGGTTAAGTCCCAGGCTCCTCCAACAATGCAACATCAACAAATACGAGACATAAAACAATACAAATAGTGCCAGAAGAAACAGAGTACAATAAAGTAGTGCCAGCTTACGTTGCAAGACCAATGTGCAAGTAATGCAGGAGAAGTTAACTATATATACATGTCAAATAAAATACAATAAGCTAAATGTTACACAGAATGTTGCTGGAGTTTATATGCATGTAAAATCGAAAAAGTTAAACGTTAAAATGTAAAATGAAATACTGTACAGTGGGATAGATACAGCTTGTAGTAATACATACAGTTGTGAGTTGTGGTATTTAGTAACTTCAAGATTCAAAGGCTTTATTGTCTAATGTACAGCCTTTTTTTGGACAATAAAAGTCTAAAGGCTCCTCCAACAATGCAACATGGAGAAATAACACTATAAATAGTGCAAGACGAAACAGAAATTGAAATGAAATAGAGAAAGAGAAAGATGCAAGTGACACTGTGTGCATTCAAATGCCGAGATAAGTCAACTATATACATGTAAAAAACGCACAATATAAAATAAAGTTAGTACATCATGTGTTCAGACAGTAAGTTTGGGATGTATGGAGCTACTTCCACAATGTAAATAAACCACAAATGGCTTCTCTGGTTTGTTAAACCTTAATGAATCAATGCATGAAAGAGAAAATGAAAGCCATTCAGCACCTCTCAGATGCACTTATGGTGTTTTTAATGCTCCATTCAGGAAGTCTTTTTATCTGACTCTTATCCAATGCATGACTAACTGGACCACTATAGAACCACATCCCCAACACTTTACTTTGAAAGTGCTAAGTTAACACGAGAAGCAGATGTATTGGCACCAGCAGTAGCCTGGATGTTATAGAAGTCGATTTTAGAATGATAATACAATAACTTCATTTGTAATGCTCCTTTCATACCGGAAATGCGGCAGAAAGTGCTTTACTATAACGAAAATAGCCATGAATTGAAAATAAAAAAGGGATAGAATTCCATAATCTATTTAAACTAAGATGTGACATAAAACATATTGGAAAAAAATGAACTGGAATACATGAAACACATGACATAAAATGAACACTTCTTCTCTCTGGCCTTCTAGTTAGAGCGGAGCACGACTCCTGACCTTTCCCTGTGTTTTTTTTATATATATCTGTTGTAATTTATTGTCTTTTATTGTGATTGTAGTAATGTGTTTTTATTACATGTACAGCACTTTGGCTCGACCAAAAATCGCTTTTAAATGTGCTTTATAAATAAAACTTGATTTGATTTGATTTGATTTGAAAAATAAAACCCACTAAATATTAAATTAAAGATCACAACATAAAAATATTGACCCATTTATGCCGAATACACATTACATATACACAGACAGTACATATATTTCATCGTTAGTCACAGGGAAAAATGACCATAATAAGAATAAATCAGTTCTGTTTTCAATGAACTCTGTGAACAATGGACTGTGAAACACAAGCCCACCACTGCCTATCATCCACAGACCAATATGACTGAGAGGGTAAATCGCACTTTAAAAAGTATGATAGCCTCTTATGTGGATGACAATCACGGGAAATGGGATCAATACCTTCCAGAATTCAGGTTTGCCATAAACTCAGCTGTTCAAGAGACCACAGGTGTCACCCCTGCAGAACTGCAAATTGGCAGGAAGCTTTAAACCCAAGCAAAGAACTGAAATAGTTAATTAGATATTAAGATATTACTCCGTAGAGTTATTTGTGTTCAGAAACATCTTATTTCTTTTAATCTAAATACATAAGAGCACAGTTTTTTCCTAGTAAACTCCGTGTTTTATGTTGCAGACGTACTTAAAGTGACTGTTATATTGATTTTGGTTTATGTCATTCATGGGTGAGGGTTTTTTCATGCTGTAGCAATTCATAAATACGTTTCCTCCATTGATTTCTATGACTTTCTCTAGCAGTTCATCTCCTCTCCCACATGCATTATTAATACAGGAACAAGCAATGACTGGCTAATTGATTTCTCTGAATCCACCATCAAACTGATGTCTAATGACTTCCTGTTTGTCTCTGCAGGTCCTCAGCAGAGTGACTCTAAGAGGCAGCACCTCCTGGAGAGGCTGCTGGACGCTGTCAAACAGGTGAGGGCACATCTCACCTGTAGAGGAATAGGCTTTATTCTGACCTCTGATAGGGTTAATAAATCACCTCACCTTTAAGGGAAAGGAAGGATGATTTGAAGTGGGCTTGTATGAGATACTTATCCATAGAAAGTGTTCTTACTTAGTAGATAAACACACACCTTAATTCCAGCATAAATCAAAGAAATGTACTGCTTAAAAACTCCAGAAATATCAGTATACATGTACACTTTATTTGGAATATTTGTATTGCTTTACATTGCTGTCACACTGTTACATTTCTTTTTATTTATTTGACTAATTTAGAGTATACATATAGTATAAACTAAGATAAGATAAGATAATTAATTAATTCAGTAGTTTAACAGCAACAGGGTAAGAATGAGAAACAGGACCACACAGATTAATACAATTAAAGATACAAATAAAAATGATAAAATAACTATAAAATAAGAAATGAATTAAAATGAAACAAGACATAGAAACGTGCCGCCTTACATCCTTACATAGGTGAAATAAATGAAAAAACGTAACATTTGACATAGATAATAATCGTTTCAGGGGAATCATAAAAAAAGAAAACATCAGTTTAAAACTTTCTAGAGACACTTCCAACTGAAGTTTGATTTCAACGCACAAATCATTCAGAACGATGAATCCATTTATTTTCCATTTGACCACACATCCCTCCTTCTCAGTGTGTCTGGTGTGTGGTTGATCTGGTTTAGCTTCCCGCGTCTAAAACCAACCCCTTCCCCAAAAACAGCAACATAATATAGCAAATTGGAGACAACAAATATATTCAGGGGCGTAAAAACTAAGGTGAGTAGATGAATATTCAACACATAATATTTGTAGACCAAGTATACTAATAAAACAAGACATGTTAAACAATTTAAAGGGAAACAAAACTTATATAACAAACTCAGGTAATGGCTCCTACAATTAGCATATTTCAAGTTAATCACTGGGACGAGATCAATTATCTAACCCTCATTTGTGTTATTAGAATAGTGTGTCAAGACTCACTTAAGGAAGGTCAACTGATCAACTATTATAAGTAAATATTCTGCATTATGTGCGAATATGGTACGTAGATACATGGTAACAAAAAAGTAGAATTTAAGTGGTTTTAAAGAGCCAATCAGTAAGGACACCTGATTTACTTCAAATGCATTTTCCGAAACATAATTGTAAAAAGAAAGTGGGTTCTGCACTGACATTATCAAGGCTAGCCTGGACTATTATATAACCCATGGGCGATGAAAACCCCAGATCAATGCTGCACATCCAGATGAAAACAGGTTTGAAGGAAGCGAGACTTAAGCTTCCTTATAGAGGTCGAAGCAGGTCACTCCTGCTGCTGGGTCACATGTATAACGTACTGTTCATCTGCAAGAGAACATGTCTATTGTGGGGCTTTTTTTTGGCAATTCAGACCCTTTGAAATGTGAGAAATGTGCTCACTGTGTGCTCGAGTCGAGGCGAACAGAGGAGAAGTATTTCATAATCATTCCCTTCATATCTTTGCAGTGCCAAATCAGATTTGGAGGAAGGAAGGAGATCGCCACGGACTCAGACAGCAGGTACGAGAAGCTGTAGGAATACTCTGTAAATGTTAACAAGTATAAGAATCAAAATCTATCTAAAGTTCAAAAAGTGAAAGCGCTCATTATGCAGAATGAGTCTCTAGGTTGTTCTCATGACCGTTATAACACAAATGAACCCTGATACGTGTCTCTTAGTCCTTGAATTTGCGGGTATTGGGGCTTGAAAGTCCTTAAAAATATCTAGAATTGTCAAAAAGGGTGTACCAACCCTAAGGATCATTGTTGCTTTATTGATAAAGTGTCTTTCTGTAGCAATACACATTTTCTATAATGCAGATCAAATTTATATTCAGAAAGCACGACTCTATGTAACTTACCAGTGGTGTCTTTTATCTGAAATGAGAAATATTGGGACTTGTAGCTGTGTTTCATCCGTAAAACATAAGCCCAGATTTCTTGAAGATTCCTGTACTTTGTTATCCCCGTATCATCTGTATACTGACCTGTGTTTATTTAGAGAGATAGATAGATAGATAGATAGATAGATAGATAGATGGATATATAGATAGATAGATAGGTAGAGAGATAGATAGAAAGATGGATAGAAAGATAGATGGATAGATGGATAGATAGATAGATAGATGGATAGATAGATAGAGAGATAGATAGATAGATGGATAGATGGATGAATAGATAGATGGATAGATGGATAGATAGATGGATAGATGGATAGATGGATAGATGGATAGATGGATAGATAGATAGATAGATAGATAGATATAAAATATTTCTGAAGTAGAAATAAAATAGCATTTAAAAAGTACAAAAATATATTATATATACATACAAACATATACATGCCTATTCATTTGATTGTACAGTGTATCTGCCACTGACCGTTTCATGTGTAATGTTCGTTATATTTGAAAACTTCAATAAAAACGTGACTGTGTTATTCCGTGCAGGGTGATCTGTCTGTGTGCTCAGTTCGAGGCGGTGCTGCAGCACGGTCTGAGGAAGAGTCGAGGTCTCGCTCTGACCGCCGCCGCTCTGAAGCAGGCAGCGGGGTTCAGCTCCAAGACTGAAGCAGGTACGATGCTAAACTCAGGTCTAAAGTAAAATAATAAAGCCAGGTATTTAACCTTTAACTCCGAATAGAATTGGTGGATGAAACCCTCTGTAATGGTCACACACACATGCACACAGCACACACAGTGACATTTGACCTCTGCATTTAACCCATCCTAGTACTAGGAGCTGTGGACAAGCAACTTGGACAAAGCTAAATGCTAACGTTGATACAGAGTAGCTTCATGGATGGATTTTGAGACCATTGGCCCCTTCCCACTGACATGTACATAATGAGATTTTCAAATTCTAGCGCACTCGAGCTGGTTTCTCCATTCTTACCTACCCTACCTTTTAATATAAGAACACATTTATATTCATTGAATCACAATTTAACTACAATACAATCTCTCACTGTAAAAACTTGCACACTGACTCAAAATCATTGCTCTATGCTCGATAAGGAGATGAAAAGTATGAAAAACTTTAATATTCAGTTTTATTTGCAGCCTCAGAGCTTATTAAGCCTTTAGAGACATTAGTTTCACATTACACCAAATAGTCTCTACTGCCATATTTAATAACCTTATGCTAATTCATTCCAGACGGAGGAGAAATGCATGACTTCTATAATGGCCGCCGTGTCAGAACCATTAGCATAATATCTGACGTTTCCCTGTTCTTCACGGACAATTAGCAGAAAGGATTGTGGCTGGTCTCGTGGATGTGGAGCTCCGTAATGAAGCCGAGCTCTCTGACAAAAAGACAGAAATAGCTGCCATCATTTCCACACATTGTTCTGAGTTGATATGCTAATCGTATGCAAACGAGAAGCACAACACCCATTCCTTTTAATTGCCACACCTCACACACTTTACATCAAAACAGGCACACTTTTCTGGGGTGACATCAGGTCAGGATGGAGATCTGTGAAAAGAAAAAGTGTAAATACAGCAAGTTGTTCAGGGAGTGTAATCTGATTACAAAAGTAAACAATGACAAAAATGTATTATAACCAGAGGTGGGAAGTAGTGGAGTACAAATACTTTGTTACTGTACTTAAGTACATTTTTCTGGTATCAGTACTTTACTCCACTACTTATTTTTCTGACGACTTTTTACTTTGATTTCTTACATTTTGAACACAAATACCTGTACTTTCTACTTCTTACATGTTGAACACAAATACCTGTACTTTCTACTTCTTACATTTTGAACACAAATACCTGTACTTTCTACTTCTTACATTTTGAACACAAATACCTGTACTTTCTACTTCTTACATTTTGAACACAAATACCTGTACTTTCTACTTCTTACATTTTGAACACAAATACCTGTACTTTTCTACTTCTTACATGTTGAACACAATACCTGTACTTTCTACTTCTTACATTTTGACAATCAAATTACTGTACTTCTACTTCTGACATTTGAACACTAATACCTGAACTTTCTACTTCTTACATTTTGACACAAATTACCTGTACTTTCTACTTTCTTAACATTTTGAAACACAAATACCTGTACTTATCTACTTCTTACATTTTGCACACCAAATACCTGAACTTTCTAGGCAGTCTTACATTTTGAACACAAATTACCTGTACTTTTACTTCTTTACATTTTGAACCCAAATACCCTGTACTTTCTACTTCTTACATGTTGAACACAAATCCCTGTACTTTCTACTTTCCTGATCCATGTTGAACCCCAATACCTGTACTTTCTACTTCTTACATGTTGAACACAAATACCTGTACTTTCGGTACTTCTTACCTGTTGAACACAAATACCTGTACTTTCTACTTCTTACATGTTGAACACAATACCTGTACTTTCTACTTCTTACATGTTGAACACAATACCTGTACTTTCTACTTCTACATGTTGAACACAAATACCTGAACTTTCTACTTCTTACATTTTGAACACAAATACCTGTACTTCTACTTCTTACATTTTGAACACAAATACCTGTACTTTCTACTTCTTACATGTTGAACACAAATACCTGTACTTTCTACTTCTTACATGTTGAACACAAATACCTGAACTTTCTACTTCTTACATTTTGAACACAAATACCTGTACTTTCTACTTCTTACATTTTGAACACAAATACCTGTACTTTCTACTTCTTACATGTTGAACACAAATACCTGTACTTTCTACTTCTTACATGTTGAACACAAAGACCTGTACTTTCTACTTCTTACATGTTGAACACAAATACCTGTACTTTCTACTTCTTACATGTTGAACACAAATAACCTGAACTTTCTACTTCTTACATTTTGAACACAAATACCTGTACTTTCTACTTCTTACATTTTGAACACAAATACCTGTACTTTCTACTTCTTACATGTTGAACACAAATACCTGTACTTTCTACTTCTTACATGTTGAACACAAATACCTGTACTTTCTACTTCTTACATTTTCCAAACAGGCTGGTTCCTTTTAGTTTGAATGTGTGTTTGGTGGCGTGATCATTATTATTTAGAGTCATTGCGTGCCTATTGATTTGAACACGATCCGTGTATCCATCATTTCCTGGTCTTCTCTAAAGAAGAGGGACCAATGAAAACGTTGTCATGTTGCCGTTGTTCAGCATGGAAACATTCATTAGCTAACAATGACATTATTGTTCTATTAATATAAAGGGAGGTCAGGTACTCTTTAAAACAGCTGCTAGTTATGGGTACTTTTTACTGAAGTACATGTCAAAGCCTCTTTACTTTCACTTGAGTAAAGAAGTTTAGTCAGTACTTCTACTTTCACCAGAGTATTTTTAAACACGAGTATCTGTACTTCTACTTGAGTAAAGGATGTGTGTACTTTTGCCATCTCTGATTATAACCAATGTTATGTTTTCTTCCTCTCCTCCCCTCCCCAGAGTTGACGTTCTGGTTCTATGTGAAGGAGCACCTGAACCGCCACGAGCTGCAGCGGTTCCTCTCTCTGCGTCAGATCAGCTGTGAGCTGGGCCGCGGCCGGGCCTGGCTGCGCTGCGCTCTGAACGAACACTCGCTGGAGAGATACCTGCACACACTGCTGTCTGAGCGGCCGCGCCTGGGGTCAGTGTGTGTGTGTGTGTGTGTGTGTATATGTGCGCACGCGCGTGCAGTAATGGAGATTGCAATTTCATATTAATCAAAGAAACATCGAATTATGAAACGCTAATATATGACAAAATGTATTTAAATGTTTTTTTATAAGTGATATTGACACTCAAAAGTCTATTAAATTCCTAGGTAACAGCTGTACAACAGTGTTTTCCTCTTTTTCTAGTTTTTAAAATGTATCTCCACCTCCTCTCTATTTTCTAGAACTTATTATGAAGACTGGGCTTTTATTCTGGATGAAGAGAGAGCCAGCATGCTGCCCACCATGGCTGCAGGTGAGACTGGGTTTTAATGCTAGTTGCTTAATAGCAGCAACTGAGTAATGTAACATGTTGTATTGTATTTTGCACTTAAGCATGCATTCATCTCATTGTATGTTGATTATTGCTCTTGTAAAGCACTTTGTCTTGTTGCTGTAAAGCTCTATATAAATACATTGAACTTACTTACTAATGTCTTACAACACACACATCTTAAAGTGTTAACGGCCAACATACAGAGGAAATAACCTTTTGATTTAAGGCCTTCCTCTGGAGCAGGCTTTATGTGTTTGCCCGATTAGTTAAAGTGGACCTATCATGCTATATTTGAATAATATAGTGTAGGACCATACCTATATAAGGCATATTTATACTTTTTTTTTTTCAAAATACCAAACAGATCATGCATTTTAGCCATGCCTCATTTCGCTCAATTTGAAAAATGTTAGCTCTGTTTTAGCAAGGGCTGATTCAGTGAGAACAGCACCACCTACTGGCCTGGCATATGTACTACAGCGTCTCCAGCGCTTTCGAACGGCAATGGCCGTGGCTGTCTCCTCCTGATTGGTGGAGTTGGCCCAATAGCCGTAGCGCCACCGTCCTGACGTCAGGACAGTGTTCAAATCTGGATCCGTTTTTATCAGATCCGTTGCAGCCCCTTTTTTAGAGATTTGGGTATGGAGGAAAATAGAGAGGGTTGTGTTTTCTGACACTTGGTGAGTTCCCTGGAACACCGGGGACACATATTCATGTATAAAAGACGTACAAAAGTGCATTTTGCATGATACGTCCCCTTTAAGGATCGAAGAAAAGCAAAGTCATATCCCCATTACTAACAAAATAATATATCTTCTGCTGAGCACTACAGCCTCACTTTCATTTCAAACATGCATCACATAAACTGCTGTCAAAGCATTACATACGCTGACTTTGCACTTTTCTTGTTTATCATGACTGGACTTGGTTTTCTTCCTGAACTATTGATGAGCTCATCTCCCTGCCTGTTAAATATTAAGAGTATAAACCACTGATCTGCTGCCAGAGCTTCTCCTCTCTGTTCGAGAGTTCATCCTCGACCAGAGAGGAAGAGCTGACTAAGCACTTTTTCAGAAGTTGAAGAAAGCTGTACGTATTAAAGGTCTCCTATCATGCAAAATGCACTTTTTGATGTTCTGTATACATAAAGATGTGTCCCCGGTGTGTCAGGGAACTCACAAAGTGTCCGAAAACAAAACCCTCTCTTTTCCTCCGTACCTAAATCTCTAAAAACGGAGGGTACAACAGAGCTGATCCAGATTTGCTGCCGATATGACGTAATATCCGAAATGTGGGCTGGCTTTACACCCACGGCCCTAACAGAAGCAAAATGCTAACGTTATGCTATAAACGAACTACAGCCGAGTCCAGCAGCACGACTTCAACGTCACGCCAACTTAAGATCCATATTCAAACATACAGATTCGAAAGTGTACACGTTGAAGCGTTTGTTTGAACAGTTTGCAGGAGGCAGGCACTTGCTTTCAAGCAGAACAGGGCAAACAAACTTAGAGTGTTTACGTGTTCGGCGTAATGGTGTACAACGTCCTCGACAACTTCTGTAGTCCTACTCAGCCACTTGGTAACAACCATCGTTTTTCAGACACGTCAACTCTTCAGAAATCACCAGTGGGGTCACTGCTGATGGATTTAATGTCGTAGAACAAAACGTGACCCGTCTCTTAAATTCGTGTCAAACACAGACCTTATGTCCAGCTCTTTTCCAAAATCCTATCGAGAAATCCCATTAGCCGCGTTCACACCAAGTACTTTGCCGTATTTAGTGCCGGCACTCAGAGCCCCGGCACTTATGACCCCAGGGCATTTAGTACAGATCGCGTTCACACTGGAGTACTTTTCCCTGAGGGAAGATTACGCAAATGAGCCGCTGACGTCACTTCGTCTTCTTCTGCTTGGGTTTACTGGCAGGCAGCAAACAACTTCAAGGCGATTATACCGCCACCCCGAGTCCCCGGCCGAAGTCCCCGGAGTTGGGGGACTGGGCTTCAGTAGAAGCTGCTGGGACTCCCAGCAGCTTCTACTGAAGCCTTCAGAGTAAATTCGCCAGAACCGCCGACACCTTCCTTCATCTCCACCCGCTCCCATGTTTGGTTTTGTGTTGCCATAAGTTAGTCTCTCTGCGTTTGTGCGCTGGGCGAATGCTAATGCTAATAATGCTAATGCAAGGATAATACAATGGCGGCTCTACAAAACATTTCAGAGTTGTACGAGGCGTGGTTTGCAATTCGCCCAGACAATCAGAACTGGGGGCACTTTTTTCCCCCAGGAAAGTACGATCTCTCAGCAGGCACTAAAAATGGGGGTAATAAAGTTCCCGGCACTAAGTGCTACCGGAACTAAACGCGAAAAGTACGGTGAAAAGTACTCAGGTGTGAACGCGGCTATTGGCTCTGAGACGAGGGAACCGGAAGAGGTCAAATGCTGACTCACTTCCGGGTCTTAGGACTCGTCACTGCACCACTCTATAGGAACCCTTTAAATGAGATCTCCCTCTCTTCCCCTCAGGTCTGAACTCCATCCTGTTCGCCATCAACATCGACAACACGGACCTGAACGGGGGGGTGGTGCGGGGGGGCGGCTCCTCGGTGTCCGACCTCCTGAAGGAGTCGACGCAGGGCATCGGCAGCCTGTGGAAGGAGTCGACTCAGGGGGTGAGCTCTCTGCTGAGAGAGATCAGCACCCCCCGGGGGGAGGGGGACCCGCTGCCCGTCCTGCCCCGCAGCAGCTCTGCTGGTAGGAACACACACATTTAGTATAGAGCTGTTTGTAGCTGCAACACACGAGGGACAGAATGAATTTGACATGTAGCATCATCTTATAGCTGTGTTTCTTTTGTAATACATACACAAGCTGCAAAAACATCTTTCATTTCTTCAAAACTTTGCAGAAATAACAACTACTTTGGAACAATTTCACTTTCTTGTGAGATGTTATCCAACTTTTCAATACAGTGAATAAAATATCTTGGTTATTTGGATCTTAAATCTTATACACTGTTTTTCTATTTCATTTGTAAGGTGTTTCTGTTCGGAAATAAGATAAGCATATACAATAATAAATATTTTTTAATAATAATAATAATAATAAAAGAGGAATAATGATCATAATTATATTTGTATTTAAAGGTGGGGTAGGTAAGTTTGAGAAACCGGCTCGAGATACACTTTTTGTTATATTCCATGGAATGCTCTTAACATCCCGATAGCAATGAATATCTGAAGTGCTTTGACAATAAATACATAAAAAAATGTCATCTGTGGAAGCTGTAATACTGTAAAAAGCACGACCAATCATCTGAGCCGGCCCGGCTAAAATAACTGGATGGCCTACCTGCCTGTCAGCCTTCCATCTGTGCACAAACTTATCTCGTGCCCTCATTGGTCATGTGCGCGTTCGTGTGTGTTGGAGGAGGGGCTCTGTGAGGAAGTGGCAGATTTTTTCCGGCTGTGTATTTTCAAATTCTAGCGCACTCGAGCTGGTTTCTCCAAAATTACCTACCCTACCTTTAAACTTTATTCACTGAAAAAGTACGATTACAGGTTAAATAAAACATAAAAATAACAAAACATGAACATATCAGACCACAAACCTTGCACACCTAAATGTTTTGAGGAGAAAGAGATAAGCACCTTTCCAGTCTGAAATCCCCCTGCTTATGTCACTGAAGCAGCACAGAGAGAGAAGGCACGTATGGTTGAGTTGAAGCATGTGTAATGAAAGCACTGGTGGAATAAATCCAGTGGAGGCAACACAAAGCAGCAGCGAGAGGAAATCCCCCGTGAGATGAATCAACTTCCTGGATGTCTGCTCCTTGGTTGACCTCATTTAACGTCTGCTCCGTCTGCAGCGTCTGCTCCGTCCACCGGGGACAGATCCAGCGTTTCCTCTCCTTATGGTCTGCTCTGTGAGAAGAACTCTCTTTTAAAATGCATCTGTGTGCTGTTAAAACTTTACACTGGAGGAATCTATCTAGATTTGAAGATGAGGGGGAACCTGCTCAGATGATTCACTAAACCCTTTTAAAGAGGCCTTATGATACTCATTTTCAGGTGTATATCAGTATGTAGTGTCTCTACTTTAAAGAGTCCTCTCCTGCTGATGTTCAGGTGTATATCAGTATGTAGTGTATCTACTTTAAAGAGTCCTCTCCTGCTGATGCTCAGGTGTATATCAGTATGTAGTGCCTCTACTTTAAAAAGTCCTCTCCTGCTGATGTTCAGGTGTATATCAATATGTAGTGTCTCTACTTTAAAGAGTCCTCTCCTGCTGATGTTCAGGTGTATATCAGTATGTAGTGTCTCTACTTTAAAGAGTCCTCTCCTGCTGATGTTCAGGTGTATATCAGTATGTAGTGTCTCTACTTTAAAGAGTCCTCTCCTGCTGATGTTCAGGTGTATATCAGTATGTAGTGTCTCTACTTTAAAGAGTCCTCTCCTGCTGATGTTCAGGTGTATATCAGTATGTAGTGTCTCTACTTTAAAGAGTCCTCTCCTGCTGATGTTCAGGTGTATATCAGTATGTAGTGTCTCTACTTTAAAGAGTTCTCTCCTGCTGATGTTCAGGTGTATATCAGTATGTAGTGTCTCTACTTTAAAGAGTCCTCTCCTGCTGATGTTCAGGTGTATATCAGTATGTCGTGTCTCTACTTTAAAGAGTCCTCTCCTGCTGATGTTCAGGTGTATATCAGTATGTAGTGTCTCTACTTTAAAGAGTCCTCTCCTGCTGATGTTCAGGTGTATATCAGTATGTAGTGTCTCTACTTTAAAGAGTCCTCTCCTGCTGATGTTCAGGTGTATATCAGTATGTAGTGTCTCTACTTTAAAGAGTCCTCTCCTGCTGATGTTCAGGTGTATATCAGTATGTAGTGTCTCTACTTTAAAGAGTCCTCTCCTGCTGATGTTCAGGTGTATATCAGTATGTAGTGCCTCTACTTTAAAAAGTCCTCTCCTGCTGATGTTCAGGTGTATATCAATATGTAGTGTCTCTACTTTAAAGAGTCCTCTCCTGCTGATGTTCAGGTGTATATCAGTATGTAGTGTCTCTACTTTAAAGAGTCCTCTCCTGCTGATGTTCAGGTGTATATCAGTATGTAGTGCCTCTACTTTAAAAAGTCCTCTCCTGCTGATGTTCAGGTGTATATCAATATGTAGTGTCTCTACTTTAAAGAGTCCTCTCCTGCTGATGTTCAGGTGTATATCAGTATGTAGTGTCTCTACTTTAAAGAGTCCTCTCCTGCTGATGTTCAGGTGTATATCAGTATGTAGTGTCTCTACTTTAAAGAGTCCTCTCCTGCTGATGTTCAGGTGTATATCAGTATGTCGTGTCTCTACTTTAAAGAGTCCTCTCCTGCTGATGTTCAGGTGTATATCAGTATGTAGTGTCTCTACTTTAAGAGTCCTCTCCTGCTGATGTTCAGGTGTATATCAGTATGTAGTGTCTCTACTTTAAAGAGTCCTCTCCTGCTGATGTTCAGGTGTATATCAGTATGTAGTGTCTCTACTTTAAAGAGTCCTCTCCTGCTGATGTTCAGGTGTATATCAGTATGTAGTGTCTCTACTTTAAAGAGTCCTCTCCTGCTGATGTTCAGGTGTATATCAGTATGTAGTGACTCTACTTTAAAGCTTGTAAACATGTCACAGTAAAGGCAAAATATACAGTTATGAAACCTTAAAATGACCCCAAAAAATAGGCCCCTTTAAATAAACTTAAACTGCTGATGTCACCAGTACTAAACCTTTACTGTGTCAACATTTTGAGGCAGCTGGTTTAGATCTGAAGTTATTGAAGTCAGTAATTGAGTTTTTTTGTTCACTTCTTTTTCATCTTCTCTTACCCCAGACTCCGGGCTGAGGAAGGAGCGGCGGAGGAAAAAGAAAATCACCAACATCATTTCCTTTGATGACGATCTGGACGGAGGAGCTGAGGATGAGGAGGAGGGAGAGGAAGAGCTCCAGAAAGTGATGAGGAAGAGTTTCATCACTCCGGCTCAGAGCAGCGTGGAGGAGGGCGTGGATCCTTTAGAGCCCGAATTCTCCGAGTCCCCGGCCCAGAACGGCCTCTCTGAGCCGGGCATCGTGAGCTGGGTGGGGTCCCCTCATCCCTGCCGCACTCCCCCCCTCACTGCCTCCCCTCCTCTGCCCGACAGGAAGAGTATAGACAACGAGGAAGAGGAGGAGGAGGAAGAGGAGGAGGAGGAAGAGGAGGAGATGTACAAACGCAGAGCACAGTCACAGGAGGAGGAGAGGAGGAGCTCTGATCAGTGAGTCACACATCATGAACACGTAGAAAGATAGTATTTTGATAGGAGTTAATGTGGGCTCATGGCACGAGACCCTTGGAGGTTTTTCATTAAAGGGGACCTATCATGCAAAATGCACTTTTGTACGTCTTTTATACATGAATATGTGTCCCCGGTGTTCCAGGGAACTCACCAAGTGTCAGAAAACACAACCCTCTCTATTTTCCTCCATACCCAAATCTCTAAAAAAGGGGCTGCAACGGATCTGATAAAAACTGATCCAGATTTGAACACTGTCCTGACGTCAGGACGGTGGCGCTACGGCTATTGGGCCAACTCCACCAATCAGGAGGAGACAGTCACGGCCATTGCCGTTCGAAAGCGCTGGAGACGCTGTAGTACATATGCCAGGCCTCTAGATGGTGCTGTTCTCACTGAATCTGCCCTTGCAAAAACAGAGCTAACATTTTTCAAATTGAGCGAAATGAGGCATGGCTAAAATGCATGATCTGTTTGGTATTTTGAAAAAAAAAAAGTATAAATATGCCTTATATAGGTATGGTCCTATACTATATTATTCAAATATAGCATGATAGGTCCACTTTAAGTTCAAGTGAAATTATATAATAGTAATAATTTAAAAGTTTTGTTTGTAACACAAGAAAGACCAGGTTTTTCTGTGACGCATACGTGGAGTTGCATGAGGTGAAAGAGACAGGTGCATGCTGGGAAGTTGTGTCTTGTAGTTTTTCGCCAATAATGTCAGACTTGAAAATCCCTGGAATAGAGTATGAATGGGTGGTACAACTGAGGTTTTAATCCAACTTTTTGACTGAAATTAAGTTATTTATGTATGTAAATCCACCCGGGCTGACTGAGGTGTAATGTTTAATGTTTCAGGCTGGTGGTGGGCAGTCTGTCCAGTGTCTCCACATGGAGCCCCCTGCAGGTGAAGAAGACGCAGCCAATCAGCGCCGACATCCTCATCCCTCTGAACCCTGCACACTCTCAGACAGGTACTGAACACTTTAAAACACAGAAGCTGCAGAAACAGGAAGTTATTCTCCAACTTCTCTGTAATTCTTCTGGCTCTTTGGACTTATTTCCCCCCTTTCAGCAGCTGTAACTCCATCATGTATTTACATCTAAACTGCAGTACTGACTATACCTTACAAGGACGTGTGCAATAATAATTCAACTGTGCAAAACACAGGTTTACTCAGCCAGTAATACTGTATTAATACTGTACAATGTAAGTAATATTATTATTTAAACTGTTACCACACTTATAGTATTGTCACTATGGTACATATTGTCCAATCTGATTTTTTCGTATATATTTCAATTTTTCCTTCTTTATTTCTATTATTGAAGAAATTCTTTACATACTTTAATTATATTTCTATTTTTGTTCTCTATTTTAATTATTATTTTAATTTAAAAAAAAATAGGAAGAACTGTTACCTAAACCAATTTCCTCTGTGGCAAAAAAAAAGAAGGTTTTATGATGTATTCATAATCGTGCACCATCAGGGAAGATGCCCTCTGTTTCGCAAATCAATAACATTTTCCCTGAGTGCTTTTAGCCTCCACTGCAGACTACTAGCACTGTACAGTCATTATTCTACATTACGTACATTGTGTTTCTATAAATATGTTCATAAATAAGGGCTAACCTGTTCTACAATACCTTTAAGACTCTGTAACATTTGTTAAAGGTCCCATGTCATGGCCATTTCCAATGTTCCAAACTCACATTGGTTTCTCATACAGCATCTCTGTATAGTATGTGTATTCACTCTCTGTCCTACACGCCTTGTTGGAGCTCTGCCCCCCCCCCTCCCTGTGAACCCAGTGGCCGTCTGCGAGACAGTGAGACACAGCGGAACTCAGCCCGAAACACACACACACCCGCAGCCTGGCTGGGAGTTTGTGTGTGTGCCCAGGCTGAGTTCCGCGGTGTCTCGCTGTCTCGCCGACCCCACACCAGTGAGCCAGCTCACAGTCCTCGCAGCAGCGAGCCTCGCAACGTCCCGCCGTGTGTGTGTGTGTGAGGAAGTCCGCGGATTGGTCCAAACATAACGGCTCCGCGGACGTAACGTAACGGCTCCGAAGATTGGTCCAAATTATGTTACGTTACGTTACGTCACTATACCCGAAATACGTCACTATACCCAAGAAGTAAACAATGGAAAAAGAGAAATCTCCAACGAGGCGTTCTGGGGCAGCATAGACAGGTCTTTTCTGTGTTAGAGTTTTACTCGCTACAGGGTGTACTTTGAGGGTTTGTGACTCTGCAGACCGTTTACATGCAGATTCATAACACACAAGGGGACGGGTAATAACCAGAAAAGCATGACATGGGACCTTTAAAGAGTTGTTTCAGCTGCCTCAGTGTGAGGACCAGATGAAATCTCAGGACTTCCTCTCAGTCTTCACTTTCACTTTGTTTCAGTGAGTCCTGCGGAAGACAGAGCTGCCTTTCCTGCTCAGAGTGACTCAGCAGGACGGGGGGGAAACTGTGAGAGCGACACACCGCTGCTAACATTCGAGTAAGCTAAGTCAGGATTGATGTGCTGTTCTGTGCATGATTTGCAGTTTAGTGCCACAAATAAATCAGTTTTAAGTCACAGGGCAAAACAGGCAAGACTTGTCCGTTTGCTTTTGGTGCTGCAGCCACAGCTTTCCTCACTAACATGGATATTAAAATGTGTTTCAGTCTGGAGTCCAGTCCTCCAGCGGAGTCTGCTCCTCTCTCCAGCACGATGCCGACATCCAGCCTGCCAGAGTCCATGACAGTCGGTCAGTGTTCCTCCTTTCTCCTGCTCTCACTGCTCCTCTCTCTCTCCTGCTCTTCTAGTTCGGTCTGTTGTCACACTGGTTTCGTCAATCGTCATGGTTCATACCACATGTGAGCTAGCACTAGAGCAGCAACTGTGCAGTGTCTCTGAACAGAACTCATAGCAATGATAGCACTTCAAATGCAAGGTTAGAACATGCTAACCAACAAGAGGGATTTCCATTGTTATGCACAGCAGCTGTGGTAGTTTCCAAAAGAGACTAATCAGATATTATACTGCTATGATCTTAAGAATCAGTAACAATCTAACAAAGGGCTGACAGTCATGCACTGCAAACCCTATGTGAGTGTTTATCTCATGATGCTAGCATACATATTAAGTCACAACAAAACCTCAAAATTGAGTGAAACAGTCTATAGCGACAGCAGAAACAAACAAAGTCGCTGAGAGGCTGAGGCCGGGCCTGTTTGATATGCAGGCGTGTGGCGCAGTGGGTTGTTCGTTGGTGTTCGGATCAGGGGGGCACAGGTTCAATCCCCACTGCAGTCAGCATGTCGTTGTGTCCCTGAGACACTTCACCCCAAATTGCTCCTGTGGGGATTGTCCACAGTATTGAGTATGTAAGTCGCTTTGGATAAAAGCGTCTAACAAGTGCCATGTAATGTAATAATGTAATGATATTGTGTGACACGCTACAAAAAATACTTGCTGAGATCAAAACTCTGTTGAAAAATAATGTAGTTTAATGAAAACTGGGATGATCAACTTATTTTCCTTAGACATTGTTATAATAATCAAAGCAATCATTAAACTTGTGGTCAACAACAAATACACGCACACACACACACACACACACAACACACACACACACACACACACACACACACACACACACACACACACACACACACACACACACACACACACAGGTGAACAGGATTATGAGTGCCGCCCATATCCATGTGACCCAAGCCAACCAATCAATAGTGATCAAACAAATATCTTATATTAAAACAAACGCATTACTATGTACGTTTCATGGCTCCTACACAGTCTTTAAAACAGTCTTTAAGAATGTCTTGACTTGACTATACTTACTGTTGTTTATCTGTGCAAACATGTCACTAGAAAAGTGTTTTTACATTTTAAATCTAACATTTTAGACTTCACCCACAAGGCATCAAGATTAGGTATGTAACAAAATTGTAGGAGCAGCAGCAAGAGGGTCAAGGCCAGAATATAAGATAACATTCTTTATAAGTATCTTTTTAGAGTTTTTGTTTCACTTTTATGGTGGAAAACCATCTAAAAAACGTTTAAAAGTATCTGGAGGGAGCTTTTAAAGATGTTAAAACTAGATAATTAGTTTTGGTCTGCACTCATTACGCTCAGCGAGCAGCCGCAGCAGTGAATAGAAACTGTATAATTATGTGTAAGTGAAATGTGTTCATTTCCTCGCAGCACTGAGGAAAAATGAAATCAAACACAAAACGGATTCTTATTCAATATGACGGCAAAAATCAGAGTTGTTAAATCCCCAGCTCCTCATGGGTTTTTATCTGAAGACAATCTAATCTCAGAGTGTATTGCCACAATGAGTTTATGGTTATGAACCCTGAGGAAGTTAGGACATGTGTCTGTCTGGAAATGTTAGCACCAGCTGTCGTCTGCAGCAAATCAAATCACGTATGGAAATCTTGCTTTTTGTTGTTGTGCAGTTAGTGAAATGGATCTAATCGCTGAGTCTTGTGCCGAGAGCAGGGGTCTCAAACTCAAGGCCCGGGGGCCAAATCCGGCCCGCGACTTCATTTTATGTGGCCCCGCAAGAGCTTGCAAAGAATATATTACGTTTATTATACGGTTACATGCTACTTTACAGAAGCAGGTTGCCCATAAACTACATGTCCCACAATGCATCTTGTTTTGTGACATGCGCACTGAAGAGACTTGCAATTATTTGCCCTGGACTTCTGCTTTCAGACGTAGTTAATTACTGAGTTATTATCCTATCTGATAATAATCCAATGCAGAGGCAATAATGTAATATAATACATTATTATATATATATATATTATATATTTATATAGTTACAACCGGACCTTTGAGTGCAACCTTTATGCAAATGTGGCCCGCGATGAAATTGAGTGTGACACCCCTGGCCTAGAGAATGTTCACTTCTTACCATAATAACAAAAGATCCAGCAGGTGGCACTGTTGGTCCATTTTAAGCACATGTTGCTGCATAAACACACCCGTCTGCTCCCCCCAGAGGATTTAGCTTGAGAGGAAAATTGGTAGAGTGTGACACAGAGTCAGATTTATCCATTTACATCACATATACGATGTCAGATGTAGATACAACGAGCTTGATGAGCTTTTAATGTGTGAAAAACCTCACAGCACATGCAGGATTTTGCCGGATGCTTGGTGTTCTGCTTGTTGCCCTGAAGCTAATCAGACTGCAAGATGCTCACACTGATGCTATTTGATTCCTTGGATTATGTGTGTGTGTGTGTGTGTGTGTGTGTGAGAGAGAGAGGGTGTTAGAGTGTTAGATCCTTAAGCCCTCTATAAAAGGAGGTCAGAGAGTTGTGGAATCTAAAAGTACAGAGGTGGAGATGATGATCTTTTAAAACAGCAGTTAAATAGTTAAATCCACTTAATCCAGTTTTGTGTGTTAGTCCCTCCCCAATCAAACAGTCTTATATAAAATAAATCCTTCCTAACAGAGGCAGACATCATTTATTCCTACGCCTACTGTACGCTGAATAGACCAGAATGCAATGCAGACAAAACCGATTTTTGCATTTTGAGTAGAAGCCATGACCCTCTCTCGCTATTGGTGATACTGTTGCTCTCTTCGCCTACTCACTTAACCCAAAGCAAAAAGTACAGTTCCCTTTTGGAGGGTTGGTGCAAAGTTGTTTTGTGCAACGTAGAAAACCACAGAAGAAGAAAAACATATGAGGATTGATGGATAGCGGTCCTTTTGGTTGGTCTTTCTGCAGTTTATTTCATACTGAATTTCACCACTTGTATCTTCTTTAAAGGGGCTCTGTTATGCTTTTTGTGCATGTCAATGGTCTGCAAAGGCTAAAATCCCAAAGTTACCTCCCCCTGCCTGAAATGCCTCCATTGTACTCCTTTGAACATACTGACATCACTATGTAACACTTGCGCTTCTACTGGCCAGCGCTCCAACACATTGTACGTGATAGGCTAAAGGGGCGGGACATCTCTAAGCAGTTGACCAATCACAACAGAGCCGGCCAGCTAACCAATCAGAGCAGACTGGGCTCTGGTTTCAGACAGAGGGTGAAAAGAGGTGCTGCAGCACAGGCAGTATGAGACACTAATGTGAAACCAGAAAATGAACAGAATAGGCTGAGGGGAAATGTTCATTAAGTAAGGAATCAACACGAGCAGCTTGATTGGCCCGTGTGATGACAGAAGAGCGTAATAAGACCTTCTATGAATAGGAACATTTGCAGTGTATCATTACAGCGTGCGTATGTTTAGTGCTGAAGAATAGTAAAAACAGCTAATGACAGTGTTTGCCCTCGTCGTGATTAACGCTTTGTGACACACTCTGATGAATACCAAGCATGCTGGATTTTTATTAAATGTGAGAAACTGAGAGCAGAGAAATGGTGTAAGACAGGAAAAAGTGTGTACGGCAAGATCTCCCTCGGTGTGTGAGGCCGGCGGCTGCATTGATTGGAGAGTTTGGAGTCTATAATTCCCACGGCACCTCCATTACATGGCCTAGCTCTCCGCTAATGCATCTATTACGGGAACAACTGAGCAAGAGCGTGAAGGTTTCCGGTGGGGGCGCACACACACACACACACACACACACACACACACACACACACACACACACACACACACACACACACACACACACACACACACACACACACACACACACACACACACACACACACACACACACACACACACACACACACACACACACACACACACACACACACACACACACACACACACACACACACACACACACACACACACACACACACACACACACACTTTTCACATATTTACTCAAGTTAAAGTAGTTGTACCACAGTCTGAAAATACTCCATTACAGGAGTTCAAAATGTTATTTAAGTACAATTACAGAAGTATTATCATCAAAATGTACTTAAAGTATCAAATAAAAATATCTCATTATGTGGAATAGCAATTTTATTAGTGGTTAATTAATGTATAATATTACTACAATACATATGAGTTGTTATTCCTCAAAAGTAGATTAATAGCATATCATATAAACGCACGATGCAAACTGAAAACCAACATATTTCGACTGCACCGTGGCCAATAAAAAAAAAAGAAGATGGATGGAGTGGGTTGCACTGAAATTGACATATTGCAAACCTATGTGGGTCTCTATCATGTGGAGACCACACATCGTCATTTTCATTTAAACTGATGATGTTTGACCTCTAAAAGTCCTCGGGCCACAATTCCTATCAAGCACAAGAAATGTTCTGACTCTTTGGAGAATGTACGCTCAAGTTACAACATCTTACAGCTTTTAATAACTTTTCATCCTGGTGGTCTTTAGAGGTTACTGACTGGGAAGTTCTGTAGATTAAATCTGAAGAAGGAGCTTGTTATATAACGGAACCTGAAAATGGCTAAAAATACGGAAAAGTCACACTAAATTCAATATAGCCGACTTCCTGTTGGGTTTGGACAATAGTTCCAAGAGACTTTTTTTTAAGTCTATATGTGATACATGTGCCTGTCGAATATCGTGCATGTAAGCTTCTGTACGTAGCACTAATACAAAGCTAATGCACGCTACGCTAAGCTAATGTTTCTTGTTTTTTGCACTTAATTGGAAATCGCTTTGGATAAATGAATCCGCCAAATGAAATGTTATTTAAACGGACAGTACTTGAGTAAATATACATAGTTACATCCCACGATTATTGCACACATGTATTTCCCCTCACACACACTTTGGCTGTGGACTGAAGCCCCTAATGGCTCGTGTTCGTGGCCCTGCTGTGAACGCGTGGTCGGACTTAAGGTCACGTTTATTTCTGGCCTTCTGAAGTGAAGAATGGATCCTTGGAGATAATAGACTCTGTTGTGTTCTTCCTCCTCCTCCTCCTCCTCCCCCCCCCTTTTCCCCCAGTTAGACACTCAGCTCGGGGGCTGCAGGAGACCTACTTGTGTCTGGGGCTTCATCGACACCCTACATTAGTTATGAAAATAGATTTAGAGAGAATTGTGTGTGTGTGTGTGTGTGTGTGTGTGTGTGTGTGTGTGTGTGTGTGTGTGTGTGTGTGTGTGTGTGTGTGTGTGTGTGTGTGTGTGTGTGTGTGTGTGTGTGTGTGTGTGTGTGTGTGTGTGTGTGTGTGTGTGTGTGTGTGTGTGTGTGTGTGTGTGTGTGTGTGTGTGTGTGTGTGTGTGTGTGTGTGTGTGTGTGTGTGTGTGTGTGTGTGTGTGTGTGTGTGTGTGTGTGTGTGTGTGTGTGTGTGTGTGTGTGTGTGTGTGTGTGTGTGTGTGTGTGTGTGTGTGTGTGTGTGTGTGTGTGTGTGTGTGTGTGTGTCCTGCTAACAGCCTAGTAAGAGGCTCTGAAACCTTCGTGTGCACCTCCGAGCGTTACTATGGAGATGAATCATTGTGAGCGGCCCAAATCTGTCCTTCACATCGGGACTGAGATTATCATCAGCCGACTGCAGACTGATGCAGATCAACTGACTGATGCAGATCAACTGACTGATGCAGATCAACTGACTGATGCAGATCAACTGACTGATGCAGATCAACTGACTGTCGCTCTGAGGCTGGAGTTATTAGGGCTGCGAGATTTAGAGAAAAAAGACCTGTTGAGATTGTATTGGCTGATATTGAAATTGGGATATGAAGAGGACGGGTGTAAATTTAGTTCTTCCTCAGTACAAATACACGCTTTTTAAAATGTGTTCTGTTGAATAGTATTTGTTATTAGGCTGGGACTTCCCGAACCATCACAAATCAGATATTTGTACATGTTTTGCCTTAAGCTAATATTTCTCTTACTGCGATTATCTTATTGCTTCAGTCCTAATTTCGCTTTTGATTACATTCTGATTATTTGTGCAGGCCTAGCTGGAAACAGGGTTTTTTCGTCCTTTATTCTCAAAAATAACAAATTCTCATCCAAACAAACACTGTTTAATAACACATAAGAAAGGCATAAAACACACAGGTGTTGTTGTAGTGAGATGAGATTGATCCAACTGTGCAAAGTGAAGCAATGTGGCTACTTTACGATTAAAACAAATGTTCTGGTGACATTCATCTTTAAGAGTTTATTATTATACAGTATTATACTTTATTGCCTTATTGAGAAAATGCAATGTTTGTTAGGTTTTGTTTCACTAATTATTCATTATTAATTATTTTATTGTTACCCTTTTTGAGTGAGTAAGGGTTTGAAAACCCTCCCGTCAATATTTAAACGTTACATCCAATTACATATACTTCTCATTTGTTATTGAAATGATTATACACAACAAATAAATAGTAACAGGAACAAAAAACACCATCCATCTTCTCCCGCTTATCCGTGGTCGCGGAGGTAGCAGTTCCAGCAACAAAAAAACACATTGAAGAAAAAAAACATGTCATCGCAGATAATATTGTATCCTTCCTCTCACATGCTTGTATCTACTTGCCAAAAACCCAATTCTTAAATGTACGCAACTGTAATTACCCCTCTCTCACAGCATGTACTTTTAAAAAAATACCTCAACGGTCCTTTTATGTAACTATATGTGTGATAAGTTAAATTGCACAGAAGTGATACTGCCTACTTTCTGCAAACAACCCTTTTTCAGTGCACTATAATTCACTTGTTGAGTGTGTTTTCATTCTTGATTCATAGTTTAATGCCAGTGTTTTCATCCCTTTTCTTACATTTATCTTTGATGAGCTCTTTTCTTCAAGCTTCCAAAATAAAGTGTGTTTTTACTGCAGCAATAAAAGCATTCTCTGAGAGCCAGACATCATCCTGTCAGCGGGAAAAACTGATTCTATCAAAGCAGTTTGTCTTATTTCTACATCTGTAAACAGTTATATATTACTTCATGCATTGTGGTGTGTATTGTCTGTGTGTTTTTCGTGTATTTGAAGTAGTTTTATTGCAGAAATCTCACGTCTTTTTTTGTTGCAGTGGAGCTTCGCCAGGCCATCGTCGCCATGATGAACAGGAAGGACGAGCTGGAGGAACAAAACACGTACGTTCAGATTCAGAACCAACCCAAACACGCTGTATACCAACAGTTCTGTATAGAAATCTACTAGAGAACTGCGTCAAACAAGATAGACATTTAATATCCTCATACAGGTGTCAACAACTTCATGGTTACCTCGTACTGTTTTTATATCATCCGTGTCTAGAAAACTCTAAACGGGTGCATTTGACTGTTAAGTTTTGTATGTTTACAGACATTTGCCAAAACAAAGCAGCGTATAAACATCAGATTTAAAAACTAAAATAGGTTTACAAAAAAAGAAACGCCATTTAAAGATTTTTGGAGTTTATTTTACGGTTAATTTATGATTTTTCTGTCCGAGAAAAAAAAATCAAATGCTGATTTGAAACCGTTGTTACGAAGTTGAGGCATTTCCTGTTTCTCTGTGACGAGGCAGTGGTTTCGACTTGGGACAAATTCTCCTTATCTAGTGCTCCCGTAACACACACACACACACACACACACACACACACACTAACACACACTCTCTCTCTCTCTCTCTCTCTCTCTCTCTCTCTCTCTCTCTCTCTCTCTCTCTCTCTCTCTCTCTCTCTCTCTCTCTCTCTCTCTCTCTCTCTCAGGCTGGAGGACGATATTGAATGACCTGCTTGCTTTGTTTACATCCTGAGACGAGAGCTTTTATTTGTGCTGACCTGGGGCCAGGACGCTGTTTTGTTGTTCTTATCATTCTTGAGCATTAATCCACCAAAGATTGTGATTTACTCTCATTTAACAGCCGCTAAACAGGTGCAAACTGCAATACAAAATCTGCCGTAATGACCTAAAAAACACGGATTAATACGATTAATCATAAATGAATGTGAATCTCCTGCCAGATCTATGTGATTTGTGTTTGGGGCATTGAGATAAGAGCGATGCAATCAAAGATGTGTGTAGATGTTTGTGTATCAGAGATAAGCCTGACTGCATTTAATAATGTTTATCCGATCTACTGATTATAAAAATAACATGTCAAAATGTAGTCGTCTTTATGTGGAGGATTAGGTCTGCAACATGTATCACCAACTGAATGCAAATGAGTCCGAAAATAAACCACTTTATATATTGCAGTCGTGAAAAACAGTTACTCAAAAACTACAATTTTGATGTACTTTATGGGAGTATTTCCATTTTACGCTGCTTTATACTTCTACTCCACTACATTTCAGATGCTAATATTGTACTTCTAATACAAGAGCATAATAGGGTCCCTTTTAACATTTGCTTAAAACATTAATTTACTTACTCAATTACTCCTGTACATAAAGTAATGTAAATAACACCAGAATGGAGAATTGAATGTCCCCTCTGGGATTCATAAAGCATGTCTTAATCTTACTCTTGGTACTTAATATTTAGTTTGATGACCTAATAATTAGTAATTTTGTATAATTAAGTTATGCTACTTGTAATTTAAATCTTTATTGTCACATTATATATGGCAGTAACAAGTCCGTTTTCCCACTTTCTGTTGAGTTGTGTTTCTTGCAATCTCAATTCATAAGTCATTTTTCCATCAAAAAGATTTCTTCCACAATTGTTACCCGTTGGTTGTTCGTTGGTGGTGCTTCCTTACCCCAATTCCTACTGATAGCTAAGTGTTAGAAAATAATCACTGGTCTCCGGCTTGAGCTTCAATCTCAGGATCCATGTATTTATGATCCTCTCCAGAATGGAAGTAGTCATCACATACAGAGCATCAACTAGTTCCTGAACAGTGTCCTTCACATGCTGATATCCAAGAGAGGGAGTTACACAGTCACAAGATGGAGGAATACCGGTTCTTCTAAGTAATCATACATCCTGTCATGAACAAAATACTGAGTTTTTTTCTCAAAATGTTGGTTTTTGACTATTTCTCAAAATTCTGACTATTTCTCAAAATGTTGGTTTTTGACTATTTCAAAAAAATTCTGACTTTTTCTCAAAATTCTGACTTTTTTCTCAAAATCTCAAAATCATGTCTTTTTCTCAAAATCATGTATTTTTCTCAAAATCTCAAAATTCTGTCTTTTTTTCTCAGAAACTCAAGATTCTTACTTTTTCTCAAAATCTCAAATTCTGACTTTTTCTCAAAATCTCTAAATCCTGTATTTTTTTCTAAAAATCTCAAAATTCTGACTTTTTACTCAAAATCTCAAAATTCTGACTTTTTTCTCAAAATCTAAAAAAAAGTAGTCCTCACATACAGAGCATCAACTAGTTCCTGAACAGTGTCCTTCACATGCTGATATCCAAGAGAGGGAGTTACACAGTCACAAGATGGAGGAATAGAAAGCAGTATTCAATGTTTACTTCAGATTAGCTCCACGTCAGAAATGATCATGCTTGTCATATGTCTATCTCCATAGAGGCTGAATCATCATGTTAATCACATAGCTATCATATGCCTCAAACAGTCCTGATGCTCTTCTAGGTAATCATACATCCTGTCATGTACACAGCTACAGTTGGGATACCTTTGTTATCATGTGGACTCTGATATTGGAAGAGTACATTCTCCAAACACTAAGTTATGCTACTTTTACTGAATTAAAGTCTGAATGTCCTCCCTCTGTGTTTCAGGTCTCTGCGCGGTCTTCTGGACGGAGAGATGGAGCACTCGGCCGGCCTCAGGCAGGAAACTGATCTTCTGAAGAAGAAGCTCTCGGAGCTGGAGGAGAGACACAGCACCAAGGTGCAGGCGCTCGCCAGGTGAGAATCAGCTGCCTGGAGATCAGATATTCAGACTGTCAATGTGTGGAGATAGAGAATTCAAATCAAACTCTTCTTTAATCATCGTGACGCATCACCACACTCACAGTTCAATTGCATTAAACCCGAAAGAAAACACAGACTATAGTATAGCTGATGGTCGTCTACCAATCGGATGGTTGTGGGTTCGATTGCAGCCTTGCAGTCAAGATTTCAATGTATCCTTGGACAAGATAATTTACCCCAACTTGGACCGCCGATAACCAAAAGAAATCAGAGCTCCAGCGTCTACCAGTGTTTCAAGGTGAATCTGAAAAATGAGTTACTCTCTCTTTCTTTTCGGTCCTGGTATTCCGGTGAGCACTGCTGGGCAGAAGAGGACCTTTAGTTCATGGATTTATGTATTGTAAAATAAGAATAATCAATAATTAAAACATATTTGTATTTATCGCCCGAGAAATCTGTGAGATGCAAAACTTCCACAGTGTGAAATGGAAACACTAATTAAAGGTGGGGTAGGTAATTCACTTCAGAAACACTTGTTGTTATATTCCATGGAAAGCTCTTAACATCCCGATAGCAATGAATACATTAAATGCTTTGACAATAAATACATTAAAAAAAAGTCATATGTGGAAGCCGTGGCGCTGTAAAAAGCACGACCAATCATCTGAGCCGGCCCGGCTAAAATAACTGGATGGCCTACCTGCCTGTCAGCCTTCCATCTGTGCACAAACTTATCTTGTGCCCTCATTGGTCATGTGCGCGTTCGTGTGTGTTGGAGGAGGGGCTCTGTAAGGAAGTCTGAAGGAAGGGGCAGATTTTTTCCGGTTGCGTATTTTCAAATTCTAGCGCACTCGAGCTGGTTTCTCCATTCTTACCTACCCTACCTTTAAGGCTTTTCAAGTTGCCAAAAATATTCCCCTTCAGACCTCCAGATAAATTACTTTAGTGTCTTATTGTAGTTCTTTACAATCATTACTGTCTTTTATCCCTTTGCATTTCAAACCTTAAAAAAATGACAACATTGACAGTTTTCTGGCACATTTCGCATTTTTCTTGAATAAGCACAGTCCATGTTTTGTCTGTTTTGATGAGTAAACCTTGTGAAGAGGTGTGATAATGAACCCTAGAGGTGATGCAGCTTTGACTTTTTAATCCGAGGCTACTTTCTGCTTCCTGCACCATCAGCCGAAAGCTGTGAGTTGCTGGTGGGAGGATCTTTTTGATTTTCCCTGACATTGTAATGACCGTTTCATCGCTGCTGACCATTAACCTCATCGACCGCCCGCAGATCTATGACGGCTGTGTGCTCGGGGGCCTCTTTACTGTACGTCACGCGGGTTTAATTGCATGGCCATTTAAATAAAGCTTTCACACATCAGGCAGGAAACACACGAGGCACTCATCACTTTAATGATAGCTACAGTCATGAGTCACACCTGGGTTTGACGGGGCCAAATCTGAGCTGAGGGACTTTGATCTCATGCATGTACACGTTCAAACCAACTTTTTCAGTGAGTAAACATGCTGTGAAATGTTTTGTGATAAAAGCCTTTACACATAATACACAGTCATTACCACTAAAATGGCAGGAGGATATCAGACAGGAAAGGGACTATTTTTGTGCAACTATCACTGTTAAAAGAATATTCAACATGAAAGAATTATCATTTGAATACTATTACTAACTCTGTGTGACCTTGATAAAGACTTCTTGCTTGTCTTCCACGCTTTAGGTAAACAAAATCGAGGAAGATCAATCCATCAGTCATATTTATTTATAAAGCACATTTAAAAACAACCCACGTTGACCAAAAAGCTGTACAGAACAGAGCAGGATGCTGTTCCAATAGAAAAGGCACAAAGCCAAATTGAACAGCAGCAAAATGATACCAAAAACTCAGTTTATAAACTCTATGAAAACAGTTTGATTCCAAGTCTCATTTAAGTTTTCGCATGCCCACACTTACCTAACTCTCCTCTTCCCAGTAGAGTTAAGATTGAAAACACATCAGCATAAAATGTACTTCGAGTAGCTTACAGTTTTACTTTTTATTCCCTGTGGAGGCGTGCAAGAGAAACAATTTTCTCCAAGAATTCAAGGTAACATGGAGTGAGCAATTCATAGAAAGATTATCGTTTTTATAAGTATTTATTTCAGTCTTGAAAGCGAGTTAGGTCCGCTCATGATGAAAAGTATCGGCTGTCACGACTACTTTTCCCCTTATGTAAACCCATTGTCAAGTGAAATGGTGTAAGACAGGAAAAAGTGTGTACGGCAAGTGTGTGTGAGGCCGGCGGCTGCATTGATTGGAGAGTTTGGAGTCTATAATTCCCACGGCACCTCCATTACATGGCCTAGCACTCCGCTAATGCATCTATTACGGGAACAACTGAGCAAGAGCGTGAAGGTTTCCGGTGGGGGCACACACACAAATACACACACACACACACACACACACACACACACACACACACACACATGCTAACACATGCTAACACACACTAACATACGTACACACACGCTTACACACATGCTAACACACACACACACACATGCACACACATACACACACGCTAACATACACACACACGTACATACACGCTAACACACGCTCACACACACACACACATGCTAACACACACGCTAACACACGCTCACACACACACACACACACACACACACACACACACACACACACACACACACACACGCTAACACACATGCACACACATACATACACGCTAACATACACATACACGCTAACACACGCTAACACACACACACACACTCACTCACTCACTCACTCACACTCACTCACACTCTCTCTCTCTATTTTATTCATAAAATCGACCTTTATTTCACTTGAATTTTGTGCTCGGACTTACTCTAGTTTTTAGATAGCTTCTTGTTTTCCCTTCAAGGTGTCTGTATAGAAAAGGTATCCCAAATTGCATCAAAGAATAGTTGATATAAGATGTCAAATGTATGAGTTTTATTTGAAGGGTCCGTAGGGGTCGACTTTAGGACAGCAATTTAGACGTTTCTTTGCTGGGAGGAACCTGCACTAACTGGCTCCGTTTGAAATGTAATTGAATAACCCTGCAGGGACGCTGATGGGTTTGCAGTTTGAGAACAGAGCGCCGCTGACGGAGCTTTTTAAAGTGTCAGGTTTTCATGTTCGCACGGGAGGATTTAATGGTGCTGAAATGGCAAGAGAGAGGGAGGCGTGTGGTGCAGTGGGTTGTGCGTTGGTGTTCGGATCAGGGGGTCACAGGTTCAAACCCCACTGCAGTCAGCGTGTCGTTGTGTCCCTGGGCAAGACACTTCACCCCACATTTCTCCTGTGGGGATTGTCCACAGTATTGAGTATGTAAGTCGCTTTGGATAAAAGCGTCTAACAAGTGACATGTAATGAGAGAGAAATAATGTACGAGGAACAACCTCACTCTCTCTGTGACACACAGCCACACAGACCTGGGGAGTAAAGGATTACATGTAACACTATCATGTTATCAGGATAGAAAAAAAAGGTATTTGTATTTTCTAACAGCTACCTTAAAACAATTGTAATCAGATTGTGATTTCTAGCAGGCTTACAGAGTTACAATACGTTTGAGTAAATGTACTTCCACCACTGCTTGTAAATTACTTTCTCTATTTTATGCTACCATATCTTTCGACTCCACTACAATTAAGTAGCAAATATTGTACTTGTTACCTGCTGTTTACCAACAATAGTTAGTATGCAGGTTGATATTATTAATATATTTTAAAATAGAGTACTGCCTACATTTTTGGTTTAATTCTTCTTCAGTGGAGAAGTACAAAATAAAGTACAAATACCTCAACATTTTATTTAAAGGGGCCCTATTCTGCTCATATTCAGGTGTATATCAGTATGTAGTGTCTCTACTTTAAAGAGTCCTCTCCTGCTGATGTTCAGGTGTATATCAGTATGTAGTGTCTCTACTGTGACATGTCTCCATGCTTTAATGTTCAAAAAGCTCTTTATTTTTCTCATACTGCCTGTGCTGCAGCACCTCTTTTCACCCTCTGTCTGAAACCAGAGCCCAGTCTGCTCTGATTGGTTAGCTGGAAGGCTCTGTTGTGATTGGTCAACCGCTTAGAGATGTCCCGCCCCTTAGCCTATCACGTACACCGTATGTGTTGGAGCGCTAGCCAATAGAAGCGGGAGTGTTACATCGCGATGTCTCTATGTTCCTGAAGTAAACAATGGAGGCGTTTCAGGCAGAGTCTATATAACACACTACAGGAAAGGGACAACAGTAGTTGAGTAAATGTAATAAGTAACTTTCCACCACGGCTGGAGCAAAACTCTTAGACACACAGAGCCGATTCTATAGTCGTCCGCTGCTAAATCTCAAGTGCTGCGTTTCCTCCTCAGTTAAATGTGTCTGGATCAATAGCGTCTATAAATACCAGAGAGTGAGGCTGGAAGCTGTCAGCAGTGAAAGAGGCCGCTGGCAACGGTTGCTATGAATCTCCTCAGCGCTTTGTGATTCAGTCGCTGTGGCCGAATCTGCAGCCTGACATAACATCTGACACCCAAACACAACGTCATCTGACACCCAAACACAACGTCTCAACACCGAGGACAGGCGTCGTCCGACAGAAAGCTAACGTGCCGTCCCGCCGCCGAGTTAATGGACGTGTTTCTGAGACAGATTGTTAAAGTTTGACAGGAGGAAATCTGCAGGTTCAATGGTGTGTGTGTGTGTGTGTGTGTGTGTGTGTGTGTGTGTGTGTGTGTGTGTGTGTGTGTGTGTGTGTGTGTGTGTGTGTGTGTGTGTGTGTGTGTGTGTGTGTGTGTGTGTGTGTGTGTGTGTGTGTGTGTGTGTGTGTGTGTGTGTGTGTGTGTGTGTGTGTGTGTGTGTGTGTGTGTGTGGGTGTGTGTGTGTGTGTGTGTGTGTGTGTGTGTGTGTGTGTGTGGTGTGTGTGTGTGTGTGTGTGTGTGTGTGTGTGTGTGTGTGTG